TTATTTTTTATTTTAATTATTTAATATATAATAAATTTAATATTAAAATAAATTTTAATTTATATTTATTTATAATTTTAATTATTTTTTTATTAATATATATTAAAAAATTTTTAACGTTAAATATATTATAAAATTTTTAAACATTTAAATTATTATTAAATATATAAATTTTATATTTTAAAAAATAATTTTTTATATTTATTTTTAAAATTAAATTAATTTTTTTAAATATATTTACGTTTTAATTATAAAAATTTATTTAATAATTATTTTAAAAATTTTTATTATATTTATTATTATTATATTTAATAAATCTTTTTATAATATATATATTTATAACGTTTAAATATTTTTCTTTAATTTAAATTATATTAATATTAACGTTTTTAAAAGTATTATATATATGTTTTTTTTATTTAAAACGCTTTTTTTTTATCGCCGTTATTTTAAATTATTTTAAATTTTTAATAAGTTTTTTTTATTATTTTATAATTAATTTATTAAATAAGTGTAATATTATTAAAGTTAATTATAAAGCATTTTTACGTAATTTATATAATCGTATAAAATTTATAAAAGTTTTATATTAAACAATTTTTTAATTATAATTTTAAGTAATTATTATCATTTTTAATCATTAATTATAATATCATTTAATCGTTATATATAATAATTTTAATTATACGTTTAATTGCTTTTTTTTATCGTTAAATGTTAATTATTTATATTAATTAATACAATTATATGTTTAAATAAAATATAATGTTATTATTAACCGTTTAAAATTTATTTTAAAACTTTAATATATTAAAATAATAAATTATACTCGTTAAAAAACTATAACTTTTATTTATTATTAATTAATTATTAATTAATATTAAATTAATAATATTAAAATCTTTATATAAATATATATTTAAATAATAATAAAATATAATAACGTAATAATTAATTAATTAAATTTTAATTATATAATTAATTAAATAAAAAAAAATTTATAAATTATAAAAAAAGTCTTTTTTATTTAATTATAAATAAAGTATAATTTTATTAATTTTAACTTTAATATATATATTATATAAATACGTGATTATTATTTTAATAATTAAGTTTTTAATTTATTTATTTATATAAAAATATTTATAAAAAATATTATATATTTTTTTTTAAATAAAAATTATTTAATTTTATAATAATATAATAATAAAAAAATTAATTTAAATATAATTTATATTATTATTTTTATATTAATTAAAAATATTAAATAATATTAATTATATTATTTTAATTATTATTATTATAAAATTATTTAAATATATATAAAAAAATATAAATATATTAAATTTAAATTATATAATTTAATTTATTTTTTTATTTTATTTTTTATATTAAAATATTAATTATATGATTTTAATTAAATAATATTAATTATGTAATATATTTATTATTACGTGCGTAATAAATAAAATACGTATTTATTATTTTTTTTTATTTTTTTAACGTTTATTTTAATAATTTTATAAATATTAATTTAATTATTTTTAAAAAAACGTAATTAATTATTTAAAAAAATTAGTAAAATTACGACTGAAAATGCACGTGATTTAACTTAAAATTAATAAAAATATTAAAAAAATCTTTATTTATATATATAAAATAATATTTTTAATAATTTTTATTAATTTTTAATAATATATTTTATATATATAATTATATTTTTATAAAATAAATCGGGAAAAATTAAAGGCTTTTTTTATAAAATTACTTATTTAATTATTTAAATAATAAAACTTTTTTAAAATTTATTAAAATTATATTTATAAAATTATTAAAGTTAAAAAATATTAAAATTATAAAAAATAAAAGCCATTAAAAAAAGTTTTATAATAATTATTATAATTAAAATTTATATTTTTAATTATATTTAAATTATAATGTAAATTATATATAATTTAAATTAAAATTCGTAAAATTATTAAAAATTAAATGTAAAAAACGATTTTAAATTATTAAATACGTACCGCGTATATTACGCACGTAATAATAAACATATTACGTAATTAATGTTATTTTTTTAATTTATTAAATTTTTAATTTTATATTAATATTAATTTTTTAATTAATAAAAAACTTAAATTTAAATGTATATAAACGAATTATTTAATTAAAAAAAAACTTTTAATTTAATATAATATTTTTTTTAAAAGTCGGGCATTTTTTTATTTTAAAAAAATAAAATCAATTAAATAATATCCTTTGTAAACTCGGGTAAAAACGCGACATAATAACTTTTCGTAAACTTAAAACAAAAAGATTAACGTTCCGTTTAATTAAACTTTCATGAAAAAGGATCGGGAAAAAAAAGTGTTAAAAGGCATGCCTTAAGTATCTCTTACTTTAAGCGCCGTCAATATAGGTTAAAATATCTTCTGCTCTGTGGTTAATGGACTAGCTTGGCGCCCTGCTGGTAATAATGTCTGATAAAAGCGCTGACATCGGTCCCTTAACCAACTCCTATCACGAGGTGTATCAAGAAGCACGGAACCAACTTCGTTATTCTTCGAAGAGCTCTAAGCTCGACTATAGGAAGTATCCTTTGCCCCGGATGTCTGATCTAAAGTCTGAACAACCCCTCAACCACTCTCGCTCGTAGAAACAAATACCACCAATACCGCCGCGCAAGCTGCCGTAGCCAGGACAATATCTGTCCTCCGCCCATCTGTTAACACCGCTAAACTAGTTGCGAAAAGACTTGTAAAGAGGGTAATCATGCCCAGCCTAACATGCTCATCTTTGACAACATAAAGGGCAACGATGGCACCGTTGATGACTAGAGAAGCTAGGAATACCGTGCTAGTCGTAACCAGACGCGAGACATTCTTCGCGGAGTAATATTTGATTTCAGGTGCTGTCTCGTGTCGAGTGCCCTGGATTAAGATAGGAGCTAAGCAACAGGTTCAAGGGGTACGAGGGGGATCCGACTTACGGGGAATATTCTTCCGCCAAGGTCTTGCAGTGTGCTTGATAGGAAATCCTGATCCGTGGACACTTGAAGAGCTGCGAAGTCGTTTTGATTTGTTAATAAGTCGCTCCCGTACCCGACAAATGGCCGCTCGTTATCGAACCAGCCACGGAAAGCTCCAAACGCTCGATGACCTGGGGTAGACAGTTTTAATATTTGACTGTGCAATAGAAGCGCCTCGTCTACATTAGGTATTAGGTCATGTCAATTTAAACGTCTGGGGCCTCCTATCTTTAACTCACGATATACTTTCAGCTTAGTCTGCATGTCCTTAATGGCCTCCATTCGTTCTGCCTCGTGGGGTTTATTCGCTGCCGTCCTCGCCGCGAATGTCTCCCAGCATTTTGCTGACAAAAGAATGTCAAGATTGGATTCCTTGTTATCGCACTCATCAAATTCTTCGAACTTTCGCTCTAAAGCTATGAGCTCTGATTGCTGATATAGCAAGTTGCGTGAGTTGAGCGCTATGAACGTCCTGTATATTGACAGCTCAGGATCCGTGGCAATGAAGTCCGAAAATGTAGCATATCCGGAGAATCCTGAGTTTGGCATCACATTAGGATATTGGTAGGTAGGCCTAAAACGCTTTCTTCTACAGATCTAGATAATCAATTCATTAAAAATGTCAAAAGTCTTTTTTTTGTTTAATAATTTCGATATGATCATCGCTTTAGCATAAGGGAAGTTAGTAGGCACGTCGGTAGGCGGAATGCTTCCGCAGTTCTCTCAATTTCAATTCAGCCTAAGCCCAAGCCTTGGTAGAACTTAGGATAAGAACCAATCAGTGTCGTGTACGGACATGGATACTTCAGCTTGCTGGTGTACGCCGCCACTTAATTGGTTAATTACCTCTGAGGACGATGGCGGTGCCCGGGGGCGATGCATCGGGGCGCTAGGCTTCAAAACTACTCATTACCCCACGAATGCTTCTTGTTGGATAAGTACCACTTCGTCGACGATCAAGATCTTGACAATGGCTGATCAAGAATTCGCAACCCTCCCGCCGGATCCCTATAAAGTGCTGGGTGTCTCGCGCGATGCACAACTACCCGAAATTCGATCAGCTTGTCGCAAGTTAGTCCTTAAATGTCACCCTGACAAGTATCCAGACCCAGAAGTGAAGAACGAAAAAGCAAAGGAATTCAAGCTTATTGAAGATGCTTATGATATACTCATTAACGAGACGAGGAGAGCGGCATACGATGATAGGGTGAACCTGGCCAAGTTAAGAGCCGCCCAAAATAACTCGAACGATAGTGCAAAACTCTACGACGAAGCCGGGAGGCCCTTGTTTCGAGAATGGAAACAGAAGGGCGACACGGAAAACGTACAGCAAGGCCAAGAGAAGAAAACCCAGGGATTAAAGACAAGAGCGTCCTCGGGTATTCTTGTTGCGCAAGGTATAATCGACGGCACGCATACATATGCAATCCCGGATACCGGTGCTGAGTGCAATATTATAACTGCATCTTTCGCCGCTAAACTTAAGCTGAGAGTTAGGCGCCATAAGGAGGGAGATAAGGTTCGCCTTCGCGCAGCAAACGGGAGGTTTATCGTCACACGTGGTACTGTCCAAGCCAACTGGCAATTCGAGACAGAGACATCACGAACATTCAGAGTCACTTTTCACATCCTTAATGAGTTTATGTATGATCTAGTCCTTGGAAATGCCTTTTTAATGAAAACCGGAACCATGTCTCACAGAAAGGACCGGCTATCTCGCATCCCAAGGCCGGCTGACGCGTTATCCGTCCTACGTGTGAACCTTCTAGGGCAGACGAGCCAAAGAGTGCGCGGGAATGTTCGTACTTCTGATGTCTTGGCACTACCAGATTCTGGGTCGGAGCCGAACCTCTTGTCGTGGAGATTTGTCAAGGAAAAAGGCCTGGAGAACTTAGTCGACTGGGAAAATGAGCGGCTACTCCAGTTTGCGGATGGAAGCCTCGGGAGAACAGAGGGCTCTATCTGGACGAGATGGGAATTTGCTTCAAATTTACGGTCGAATGGGACCGGCATTGAAGTTGAATTCCATGTTTCCCGCGATTGTGTCTACGACGTGATCATCGGGCAAGACGTCCTCGAAGAGACAGACGCATTTCTGAACCACGAGGAGGATTTCATCTATGTCGAATCTGATCCCGAGTTCGCCGGCATGAATCTCGTTATCTTTGCACCTAAGAAAGCGAAGAAATCCTCATCTCCCCAACGTGTGCATGATGCACTATATACGGAGTTACAACGTCTCGCCAAAGCCGATGACGAGATTAGGCGTCTATCAAAGGGTACTATACGGGGTGGAGCTCACTCCCAAGAAGAGATTGCCCGTCGTACGTATAATGAGCGTAGTCGTGCCGATGACCGGCGTGGCATTTTACCATATCCGCAATCACCACCGCCGCAACCTGATATCCATGCCAATCCACGCCATGGCGGCGATGTCAGGGGATCAAGCATTTCTCACACGAATAGTAGTATCTCTAATTCTTTTACCAGGAGGGAAAGCCCCGAGGAATATCTACGTTCAGCAAATGCCACGCCAACCCCTGAATCGTATCGGCACACTGGACAGACACAAGCTCAACAAATACCATCGAGGGTTAAAAATCCAGTAACCGGCAATACTGGATCGGAAGCACCTAATAGGAATAATCCAAATCAGATTGTCTCATCTGGTAGTGCCTCGAATATAGAGATCATATCAAGTACGTCTAGTAGTAACGGCATAAAGAGGATTCCTTTGCCTCGCACTCGGCGACCAGAACAGGATTTTTTCGACTCGGAGATCACGTCGGAGTTTTATTTCAATATGGATCTAAGAAAACCTCCAGCTGGACGTGCATCAATCGTGGATTACCACATGCAGATGGAACCAATACCATATTATACTGGCGACCATAGATAAGCCGTGAAAACATAACACCGATATAATAGCAAGGTTTTTCCTACTCCTACAGCCGTAGCCCGTATCGGCTGCTCATATATTTTGGCGTTACAGTATTAACAGGTATCGAGCACTCGGATTTGACATATCATCAGTTTAAATACTCTCCCGTGTCCTAAAGGGTAGGATGTTTTAGAAGGAGAATTAAAAGGCAAAATCATTTTTTAAGGAGCTGAGAGCAGGGTGTTTGGGTTATTCGGCGTTTATCACATCGGCAATTCCCCAGTTACATTTATGTACCTAAGCAACACAAAGGGGTTGAGACACCCCCCCCTCGGTTTCGATATTGAAGAACGATGTTATCTATCCAAGAACTTGCAAATTTAGCAAAGCAATTCAAATTTATTATAGTTACAATATGAGCACGTATCAAATGTTAGCGTACTCGCGGCAAACTACCCCTTTCTAACCCTTCTAACATCTCATATTTCGCTGCCCTAACAGGTTCGTTCTCCGATCATTACTATACGGATAACCCTATTAATCACAAATCGTAGTCAATTGACGACTACTAGCCCAGTGGGTTACAACTCTTAATTTATTAGAAGATGGATTATAGTAAAGACTTAGGTATACACGACCCTTTTGGAAGAACGATCAACCGTGCCCATCGCGCAATAGGGGGGCACACGCGCCTATCCACTACGCATTAAGAAACTTCTCCTGCGTACCCCCGTAGCGTTCTCCACTAACGGGCAATGCGTCAAGAATCCTTTGAATCTCAGCCAACTCCTCGTCTGTCAGCTCGGCAGCTTTCGTATTTTCAACAACTCGCTCGACCCGAGCAGAGCCGGGAATAGGTATGGCCCCCTGGCGAATCACCCACCCGATAGCCACCTGCGCCGTCGTGACACCTTTACGTTTGGCGATCTGCTCCACCTCCTCAACGAGCTTGAAGTTCTGGTCGAAGACCTCAGGTTGGAAGCGCGGCAGCATGCGGCGGAAGTCGTTCTGCGGGAGGTCGTCTAGCTTGCGAAGCTGGCCGGTTAGCCACCCGCGGCTGATGGGGCTGTAGGCTACGATAGGGATACCGACTATTCGCGGATAACATCGTTAGCAAATGAGTTATGGCTTCACGCCGTATCCTAGATTACCTACGTTCATGGCAAGTATCCACAACGCCGTTATGAAGAGGATCGGGCGTGAATAAGCTTAGCTCGATCTCGACGGCCGAGATAGGATGCACTGCGTAGGCTTTGCGGATTGTGTTTGCGCTGACCTCGCTCAGACCGATACCGCCAATTTTGCCCTCTTTTACAAGTTCGGCCAATGCCTTTATCGAGGTCTCAACGGGGACTTTAGGGTCGACCCGCGCGCATTCGAAGACGTCAATAGTCTTAGTACCACCCAGCACTTTGAGAGCGTCTTCGACGGAAGCGCGGATACCTTCCGGGCTGCCGTCTGGCCCGGTCTTCATCCCAAATGCGCCTTTGATACTGAGAACGACCTTGCTAGCATCTTCGGGATACTGTTCGAAATAGTGTTTGACAAGATGCAGAGAATTTGCCTCGGGAGTTCCATAGTGCACACCCTACGTTCGAATTAGTCTTACCCTCCTGGGAACTTGGAAAGCGGGTTTCACTTACGCCATTCCAAAGATTCGCACCTTGCTCTAATGCCGTCCTCAAGACCTTCACAGCAATGGGATACTCGACAGGGGCCCACGGCTTCGTCAATCCTGGTATATGGTGTCAAATTAGTATTATCCTCTTTTAATGCATATGCCTTACAATATGGGCTACTTACCTAACATGCCGAATCCAACAGGGCCTACGGCCTTGCCGCCGACACGAGTGATCGCTGCTTTCCCTGGACTCATAATGTAGACTGTCGAGCTATGCCGAGTTATGATAGTTGACGAAGATAAAAAAGGGGGTTCTCTTGTAAGTTACGTTACTGAGAGGGAAGATGCAGCTATACAACCGATATTGGTCTAGAGATCTCTTACATATATCACATGGTCACCGACTTTATATATGTTCTACCAGCATACTGGACTTTTTGCTCTTAAATCCGCATATCTCTTCTTCGGGTCGGATGTTCTATTGAACCCCGGTTCTGACTAGGGGTCTAGCTGAGCCAGGTAAAATCTTATTCTGCTACGTTCCCGGATCCGTTTTATCAAGGGTTTGACGGGCGGGAGTCAAATTGCCTCCCGACGCCGCAATGCTAGAGGACAACGCCTGAATATCCGGATTCATGCCACGTTTTTGCAATTGGTGGGTTAAGGAGTGGAAATATCTCGGACTTTTAAATATTATATCCGACTATTTTGGTCGAGTGCATATGGTAATAGGATCAACCGGCATAGTAACTCGGTACGCCAGATCGGCTCCGCAATCGTGCCCCATATTTTTCACGGCCGGTTACTAGTATGGCGGATCCGATTCCCCGCCGGTGTTAGGACAATTTTGCGCAGCATGTCCGGAGTTTACAGTACAGTTTCTTACGGATACCAAGTTTCTTTGCGTTTTATTGTGTTGGTATATGTATGACTATAATGATAGCGAGGCCAGTATCGAGCCTTACGACAGGTTTGGTAGAGGCAGTGCGCAGCAATAACATCACCTACCTTGGTCAGATGAGCCTAGCGCTACTGGGTAATGATTTATCTACCTAATATTAACGGCTCGGCTGCCTCTAGTATCGTAGTCTGGTGACCTTGTGTTTGTAGGAGCATCGGCAATCTGCTAAGCTCATTTGGTTCGAGGGCCCTTCGCTCTCCTTCACTCGCCTTGCTAGGGCGTGAAATTAGTTCCCCGACTTAGCATATCTCGGTACAACACATCATAGATTATAAAGCACTTGTTCGACCCGCCTAATTCGCACCTTGACTTCCATCAGTGGAAACGGAAGCCGTGGTGGATAATGGTGCTGCAAGTTTCGTTTTTGATGGCAACGCCCACGAATTCCATACCTCACTTGGGAGATTTCTTATTTTTCTTGTCTTTATGCTTCTTTTCTTCCTTCCTATCTTTCTTTTTCTTCCGCGAAACTTCCGAGTCAACATCCCCGGCATTGGATTCGGTATTGGGCTCTACTGGTGGGATGGATGTTTCGGCCTTTCGCTTGCTACTTGCTTGAGCAGCCTTTAGGGCGGCTTTAGCGCGTTCCTTCGCGATCATCTCGCTTAGCTTGGTATTGACAACCTTGTTATTATTCTCGGCCAAGTCGGCTCTGATGAATCGAATAGCGGCTTCCTTGTTCAGGGTCTGCTCTGGTTTTTCCGGAGGGGTTTCGATCTTCTTGATCTTGTCAAAGTATTGCCGTACGCGGGCGAGTTCCTTGAAGACGGGATGTTCTTTTGCCTCGACACCATTAAGTCGAAGGGAAGCTTGTCGCTGTGTTAGGCCAATGAAAACTCACCAGATTTAAAAGGCTTGTACTCACAAAAGATCATCGATTCTATGGAATAGGTCGCAAGTACGTAAAGCTTGGCCTTGTCGAGTAGGGGTAGCTTATTAGCGACATCCGAGATGTTGCCAAGGATGGGCTGTAGGGCTTCCTCGAGGTTATCGAGTTCATCGTCCAGCCGATCTAACTGGGGTGAAATATTTGGCGGATCCATTGTGCGAGAACCTGATATAAGCTACTTGCGACAGTTGTTCGAAGAAAAGATTAATTCATCCAAGGTTGACTACGCATTGGCGCGGGTCGCAATTGTATTCAATTGTATTGAAGAATTATGGCGGTGATTGTAGGCAGAATATGAGAACGGAGAAAGAATGAAGCGAATTCCAAAAACAAAAAAACCCGACTCAGGTCTCAGGTACGTACCTACCTTGTAAACCACGGATGGATGTGGGCTTTCAGTTGCTTCCGCCAATGACAGCCATTTCAATTCGCACCGGCTTAGCGCAATCGTGGGGCCCGAATCGGATCCGTTCAAAGAAAAAAAAATTAATTAATATCACCGTCATGAAAAGCCGCCACGAGGCGATACACACGTAAATCCTAAACTCACTATACTGGGTACCATCGCGTGGAATTTTTATTATTTCGACCGGTATTTCTTTCTTCTACCTCTTTCTTATTTCTCTTCTTTAATTTTCTTCCAATGTCCAGGGTTTGGCCTTAGCAAAGAGTCGCGATTCAACCCTCGGCCATTTTAACGACATGAGAACAGCCGGTTAACCCACGATAAACTCCCACCCTGTATTCCCATATCTTTCGCCAGCCGCTTTCGCGGGCTTCAGCGCGAATACCCAGCAGAGATATAACATGGAGTCTCGATAACCTCTTCGTGGGCCGGGGGGCCACCAAGTACTTGTCCGCTGCTGCCGCCGTGACGCCGGACCTACAACGCCAGAACGACGGTTTCCGCCTCGATCCTCCTATATACTACCCCCCGACCTCACCACAGAAAGGCGGGTCGAGAGAGGGCGTTTCTCCAAGCTATCCCTTCTATACATCGCCACTAATCTCTAAGATTGCTACACCCTCTCACCCGTCTACTAAAGAAGATTTATATTACGCCAAAGCCTCGGCAGCGGTAGCAGCACAGGTAGAAGCCGAAACGGAAACCGAGTCCAAGTCCAATTCCCTAAGACAAGTACCCGCGATCAAGCTCTCAAATAAGATTCACGTTGTCGGCTTCGATACACACGCAAGATTTGTCGCCCACGCTCTTGCCGCTGATCCTAAACTACCTCCGGTTCAGATGCTCACTCACAGCCCAATATCGATGAAGGCATGGGGACAGGAAGGTAGAGCTGTCAGTATTCATGATAGCAAAGGTCACCCCATATCTTCCCGAGAAATCCTCTGCCCAGATTACGTTAGTCGTCGGTATAACTCGCCAGTGTATCAGCCTATATTGGACAATATCATTCTTAGCACCGCCGCCAGGGCTGCCTTTCCTACTTTGCATGCCCTGCGTGAACGCATCGACCGTCGAACCACAGTCTGCTTGCTTGAACCAGGGCTTGGATTGATGGAGATGTTGAACGAGGAGGTGTTTAACGTCCCCGCTCTGCGGCCAAATTACGTGATCTGTCACAGCAGTCATAAACTTGCCAGGCATTCGTATCATAAATACTCGTTACGACACATACCTGGGAATCTATATCTCCACGCGGTTCCTAGGGATGACGAAGACGAGGATATAGACAGGGTAACGTCTCAATTGCTTGGGAATCAACATACTAGACATATGATCGATATCCTCTCGGCGGCTGGCGACCTCAACGCAGTCGACGTATCCTGGAAACAATTGCTACTGCACAAGCTACCCGACATGATATTTCAATCCCTAGCCGACACGCTTTCAGCCATCTTAGATTGCAGCTTCAACCTTATAAGAAGCAATAGAAGTGCGATGAGGCTGTGGGAAAATATGTTGGCAGAGACGATACATATCATCTCGTCTATTCCCGATTTCCAAGGCCGCAGGAAGCTCAGGTTCCTACACGAAAGACAGTTTGCGACAAAGCTCAGAGTCAGGCTAGAGAGGCAGGGTACCGAGTATAGCCATTGGATAAGGGAGGTCCGAATGGGAAAAGAACCGCCCGCCCAGTTCCTCAACGGCTATTTTGTGAGACGTGCCCAGGAGGTCGGAGTCGACCATAGGTATAACAGCTTAGCTATATCCATGCTCAAAGCGAGGGTAGAAAGCAGGCGTAAGATGCACGAAATTCCGTTCAATATTATACCGGAATATGATGATTATTAGAAACTGCGGCTCGCAGCATGGCCCGAGTATAGATAGACAGACACGGGTTTGGGTTGGTATTGTATATAGTGTACACTTACGGAAATCGCTTGTATAACGAATTAGGGATGTGAGATTTTGCTCTAAACATAACGCTTCGCCTCTATGTTAGAGCTATCTAAAATTTCAAGTTAATTGCTTAAAGTCGCCCGCTGTAATTTGGCATAGCCCGCGATGCGTGATAAATGAGCGTGTCATATTAGATCAAGCACAAAGTCAAAATATCATTCAACGACAAACGCATCAAAATCCTTCAACTCATGCATACCGAAGGGAATATACATATGAAAGGGTGCAGAGTGAAGTTTTTTACTTTCTAAATCGCCTTATGGCAGTATATACAGAAAGACACCCTCGAGGGCTCTGCAAGCAAAAGCATCCGCACTCCGTAAACATAACTGTACGTTGGCTGAAGACAATAGGAGTAACCAGTGGACACGATTCCTTCGGCCCGAAAGCGCAGAGATGGGAGAGTTCTCATTACCACTTTTCCCAGCTATCTTCACTACATCCTCCTTCCCCTTTCTCCTTTCTTCCTATCCTACCCCATCTTAGTACTGGCTAGCGGCAGCCTGGCACGCTTTTAGCTGCTCGAGATACCAACCGCAGATCTGCATGTTACCGCCCTGCTCGTCCATACACTTGGTGAAAGACTGCGTGGCGCCCTGGCAGTTGTTGCCCCACTGGCTCTGCTGCTGCTGCGCGCTGGCGGCTTGGGGAGAGGCCTCGGCGGGTGCGGAGCCACCGCCGCCGAAGAGCCCGCCGATCGCGTGGCCGATGGAGGAACCTACTGCGACACCGCTGTATGTGTTGCCGTTAGTTATAGTGCACATATGTTTAAACGGAAATTAGTACGTACGCAGCAGTACTGGCCATCTGGCCGAACAAACCGGGTCCCTGAGAGCCCTGGGGAGCAGTCTGCGCAGGGGGATGCGGGTGCGCAGATTGCGCCGGGGCATAAGTCGCTGCTGGCCGCGACTGTTGAGAAGAGGGAGCAGGCGCTCTGCTGGGGACGGTGGGACGAGCCGGAGCGGGACGAGCGGCGGAACGGTTGCGAGGCATCTTGATTTATGTGTCGAGATGCGAATATGGGTAGCGCGCGAATGAGCGTGTGTAGGTTTGTGTTATGCGTATGCGTCGATGCGGAAGAAAAATTTGTTAGATGGATCGGCGAAACGGTAAAAAGGTAGAAGTCGACGGAAGATCGCAGGTCGCTAGTTCGGATTTAAAGAAAATGCTGCTAAGGCAAGGTACATGAGGCAAAAGCTGGAAAGGCAAAGGTCCGGGTTACCGGGACGCTTTAGCTGGGTACCTATGTATATGTTATGTGGCGGTGGCCAATGAGGGGTTGCTAATCGGTAATCAGGGGCCTGCGCTCGTAGGTTATACCTATTGTGGCGCTCAAAGTTGCGAACCGCGTTTATAAAATTGATACGACGTACATCTTCAATGAAGACTTTTCATTGAGTCCCATATTTCCTCTCTACACTAGCATAATACTATAGTAGTTTCAAGGAGTTTATCTTTAATAGTAGACGTTTAAATTCTTCTTTTTTATTGGACAATTAACATCATAGGAAAAGGAGTTGAAAGTGTCAAGCTTTCAACCTATGGAAATTGCAAATGATCCAAAAGAATTCGTGTTCCTTAAAATGCCAGCTATATTTTATACGTATAATGTAAAAGTATCAATTCTATAGCATCATTTAACTCGTTCATTCAAATATTTCCAACCCAATAAGGTCTGGGGCTGGCAAATTCCCACTTGTTGCAAATATTACTCGGTTCTGACCTTCGACAAATCCATCAACCTCGATAAGCAACCTATCAGACTCAAGCCAGTCTCCTCCTGAAATAGGAAACGCCCATCTCTTCGGCACCCCATTATTGACCGCAACCGTCATGTTTCGGGTATTAGAACCCCAATCCCAGGCACTGTCTAGGGCAAGCTCGTAGTTAATGAAATCAACACCAACTAGCTTCTTTCTCTCGGACCCCACAGTTACCGAGTCAAAGGTTGCGCTCGCTCCTCCGGCAGCAATGCTGATCTTGTTACCCGTAGGGGCGCATTCAGTTGGCTCGCAAGTAACTTTCGTCGCGCCACCCGAGAGCCTGGCATTCTCTACCGAGTAGTAGCCTTTTGATATAGGTCGAGAGGTCGATGTTACGATGTCGCTCAGGACCAGCAATCTCATTTCATGGGCTGCGAGCTCGAGTTTTTGGGCCCCTGAGATCGTACCAATGTCTTCCGCTGCCCAAACATCGCGAGCATGGGCCTCCGAGACGTTCGCCGCCGAGAGGTCGAACTCCACCGTCTGAGAGTCGTTCTTCCAGTTTGAAATGCCAAGAACAATTCTCGATTCGGAGAGATCGCCAGCCCAAATATCCCACTCTTCTTCGGTGTACCGACGAATAAGCCGCGCCTGTTTGCCTAGCGAATCCTGGTTGATGGCTATAACTTCTTCATTGCGAAGCACGTCAAGAGAGGCGGCCGGCGCAAGCTTAGGGTCCATCGGCACCCCGATGTTAAGAGGAGACTTATTAATCGCCCACATGCTGAAGTGAAACTTCTCCTCTTGCAGAGACAGGGCATTAAGCCCAACACTATATACATCAGTACCTATACGCAATTCAATAGGCGTACCTTACATGAGCATATCCATATCGGGATAAGCACCGACCGAAGTAGATTTATAAAACGGCACGACTTGATTTGTAATGCGCCATACGCTCCTCCACGAGTTATAGATGTCGTTGCTGATCCTGTATACATTGCCAATGGGCGGCGCCCACTCACCTAGATCCTCGCCAATACCCCATTGGCAAATGAAGTAGGCGATGTCTCGATCTACGTCATCTAAAAGGGCGGCCATCTTCTCGTGCCGCTCGGGCGACGTAGATTCCGGTGAGACATAATCTGCCATTTTGTCCTTCGAGGACGAATAGCAGTTGTCATATCTATGGGGGCTCAGCCATTGTCAACTTCTCCTTTCCTGATGGATTTCAGACCCACTTTAAGGAGTCCCCTTCCCACTCGGCAAACGACTGCGCATCTATCTCTTCAAATCCTGTGGCTAGTTAGAATTATACCCAACTGGTGAAACACACACGAAGCCCGTACCGAGAGAAGCTGGGAGATCCGTCGAGCCGCATTGATAGTAACCCGCGCCAGAGTAAAGGCCGAATTTCAAGCCTAGACCGTGGATATAATCTCCTAGAGCCTTGCCTCCAGACGGGAAAAGAGTGGTGTTCCACTGAAGCCGACCTTCTGTGTCTCTGTCCCTCGACATCCACCCACAGTCCGTCGTGACATATGTGTAACCTAGGTCAGCCAACCCTAGGTCTACGAGCCCCCGAGCATTCGTCTTCATGATATCCTCGCTAGGGAAGCAGTTATAATGATTGTAACTATTCCATCCCATCGGCGGCGTCTTTGTCTTGTATAAGGCAGCCTCCACGGAACCCCCTAGCAGGATCGCCGAAGTAGTGACAGTTTTCATCATGTAGGAATTCATTTGCAACTTAATTATGAATGCTTTTAAACCAAGCTTATCTCAGGTGACCTCAAACTGAGATTTAATATCGTTCGTGGGGTTGTACCTCTTTAGCCACACCACTGAACCAGACTAGGGGTCTGGACCTTGGAACAGGTCTTATACGAGACCTAGTACCATGGATTTGATGCCAGTATGAAAAATAATGACTTATATTGATTGTGCGTTGTTGTGTATAAAATGAGTGTGTGATCGTGAGGGGTACTTATACTACATGACTGATCGAGACTAGATCACCTGATACACGACCCTTGTTCAATCCTCCCTTTGAATTTCATCGAGGCCACGAGATTAAATTCAACCCACGAACAAGGGCTAAAAGGAAACAACAAAAGCAACACGACTGGGAATCGAATCCTAGACCTCAAGCGATTGATCTTAAGCAATTGACCAGGCCTTGAGGAGTACAGCTATCCTGATATCCTGATTGCAGGTCATAGATCGGACGACTTATATGGTTCAAATCAGTATACCGTGTTTCTTAGCCATACAAATTCGCATAGTAACGGATCGATCATGATGCTTGCTAGCGAATTAAATGTAATTAACATGCGAAAAGAATCTTAATATAAGGCCGTGTAAAGATCGTCGTGGTATAATCCTGTAAATAAGCATCCTCGTATAGTTAATAAAGATCTTGGTATAAGTAAAAAGCGTCGTATGGTCTTGCCACGCATCGGCCTCTTTAGCAATAAACTTGACTTAACTGATAGATAAAAATAAAGATGCCTCGTATAAGCTACGGTTTTTTCCCCTCTTTTTCTCTCCCTTTTATACCGTATTAAGATAATTTAACCAATAGGCAATTTCATCTCGGGGTCGAAACATAATGATTTTAAATGTATGGGCGAGGGCGGCTCCGCTTTTCAAAGCCGGGAGTCGAATCGATTTCCTACGTTTTTTTTTTTAAATCAACCCAACCTAAAATCAGCTCCGAAAAGAAAACAAGAAGAACTATCTCTGTGTGCGTCTCGACAAGACGGTTTTAATGGTGCAATATGTTTATTTTTCCCGTATTAATTGACGCGTGCATCGCCGATTGAACGAAAGACGTTTTTAAGAAAAAAAAAGGTTTCGTGGGGTCGCAAGTGCTAACACCCCCCATGCTCCCGGGTAAGCGCTAGGCCCTGCCGAATAGGGGTAGATTTGCTGAGGTGTCGCCGGTCCGACAAACTAGGGATGTCTAACAAGGTAGAGCAAGTATATTCAGTTTACAGACTACCTGTCATACAATACAATACCTTATACTAAGCAAAAAGTATTTGCCATGTTTCATATTCCATTTCATTGGCCGCCATAGGTGGCGCAGTTGCGATCGTGCCTGGTATTGCAGAATCAGTAGGCAACTTAGAAAGATACCAACTCTTCGCCCATCTCATTCTTTCCGCAGACCTGGTAAAAAGACCTTTGCCGTCTTCCATAACCTTGCACCTACGACCAAGCAACTGCTCGCACGCCACGAAATAATCGCTGAGCCGCTCCGCGAGGTCGGGGTAGTTGACGCTCTCCCGGGCGGTATGCGCATCCCAATCCCCGTCTTCTAGGAAGAGGAGGTGGGTTAATATAATGTTAGAGTAAGAGAGATGTGCAACCATGACGAAGCTAAGTGCCGCAAACATGTCTCCTGGGACGGTAAGATAGAGCTCGAGAAGTGCCTTTGCGCTTTGACAACAAGTCCAGAGGGCCTGGCTCCGCATAAATGCCTTATTTGGAGGATCCAATGACTTCATATCGATTACTGGCTCGTAAAGCCGGATGAGGACCATGTGATAATGATGCCATACGAGGACTGTGGGATTATTAACTGGAGCATACGAATTCGTGAGAGCTTGGTCTAACTTACAGTTCGACTTCTGATCTTCGGGGAGCTGGTTGACTATACCATCAAGCTGCCGTCGAATACTAGCCATTGCCATGGCATGCGATACTCCTAATACCACCTCCCTATTGATACTATTCTCCGATAATATCTTGGTCGCTTGAACTATTAGATTCTGCATGCGCACAAGTGTAACGGCAAGCCGGTCTGTAGAGCAGTTAATGGCTTGGGTTAACTCGGTACAGCATTGATCCATGTAATCCGTGAATTCCATCGGTTCTGTACGTCGAAAAATACTCCGTATACTAGAGCGGCACGTTTAGATCTCGACGTCAGGGATAATTTATGGCTGATACTTACACTGATGAAATATAGAATACGCCGAGTAAGGCTCTTCGTTCGGCATGGGTATGCTCCCTTCGGATATTCATCCCTCTAACTAGCATCGTAGTTTCTTTTATGATGCATCTTGGAGGCATGATTTGAGAGTCTGGAAGTCTATTGAGTCCCATATCACCGACCATTCCGATCGCTAATTGCATAAGACTTGAATCATGCGCATGTACGAAGAAATGCCAAGTTTGCCTAAACTTCGTCAGCAAGAAAGCACGATAATTATAGCGACGTGAGAACATTATACAAGTATGATGTGGACTGACCAGGCAATGTAAATGAGTACAGCTTGTAGTAGCTCTAAGCTTCTTTCTTTCTGTACCACCAGGTGGAGGGCAAAATGTTCCCGGAACCACTTTTCTATCTCACACTTAACCGGCCAAGGCTGGGGGCGGCAGACGTATATGATGGCTTTCAGTAGCAATGGCCGATCCCGGAGCATCTCACGGGCTGACCAGGGGGGTAGGTGAACGAATGGAAAATTTGGTTGCATGGTCGTTCTATATTCGAAAAGAACTTGATCTGCCTCGACAAGGGATACACGGAATCCAGCCGGGAAGTCGATATACTCGTCTGGAGGCCTAGGAGTTGATGATGATACAGAAGGTATGCCAACATTTGAGCCAATTGCATATGGGTTGCCAACTTCCTCATATGTCATCTGGGGGGCTTGATGTTGGGTTTGAGCAATCGGTAAATTACCTATCCTAGGGACTTGTTGATTTGTAGTTAACATAGTCATGATGCTTTCCACTTTTCTCTCAAGTTCTCCTACCCGTCTGAAAAAAAGGGGGAGAAGAACGCGTTAGTACTAGACATCCAAGCGTGGTCAAACGCTTACTTCGATTTCCCCCGCCGTTTTCTGGGACCTGACTCTTGAACAGAGCAGTGCAACTTAGATTTGGAGCATCTGGACTCATGTCAATTACAGACGATCAGTATAGTATTATCTTTCAAGAATATACCTTTGACAGGTAGTCCCCGTTAGCCAATGACATTTCGTCTTTGAGCGGGCGCAATTCACGCATGCCCTCTGCTTATTAACAGATCTCTCCGGCCTATCGACCTCTATGCCGGAGGATGTGGATGAGGTAGATACCGAAGCCATTCTCGAGGACCAAATTAACCTCCGTAAATAATTAACACGGTGGATTCTGAGGTCTTAGTTTTATGTGTATCTCGGAAAATTTAGGTAGTCCGAAAAAGCCGACGGTGTGGTTGTCCAATTAGAACCATCATTCTAGACTAATGGGGTTTCATTTGCTTTCCGAATTCCGTAGCTGAAATCGCGCCCCATTTATTGAAGTCCTACTGCAAGTTAGGGCCGTATGTCGGTTGGCAATTTAATCCCCGATCGGCTCATATTTTTTTAACCAGCTAGGTAACTCAAGCAGAGAACAGCATGGAGTCAGCTTTTCATATTAAGTAGCTAGTAACCCATATTACCTGCATTTCTCAACTAGAATTTTTATTCAGTCTTCTCCCAATCGTGCTAATCATTTATTTTCTATTAACCAACTCGATCAAGTAATGAGAGCGGTATATGTCGTCGAGAATAATTTTTCTAAAGTTCGCTGAGGACCGAATAATTCAGGTACCTAAACACGTTATGTCGAAGAAATGCCTACTATACCCCTATTTAATTCTAGGTTGTGAAGGGAATAGTTGCAGAACAGTCTAGAATGAATTTTCTTTCTTCATCTAGTCCTCTACCTAGTTCTCATCACAATCCCACCAGGAACGTGGGTAACTGCTCCGTGATATAAACCGAAACTAGTAACTTGAGAAGCTACTGGATATTACCCTGAGCGATTAAATGAGGCTAAATATATTAGATATACTTCAGCTTTGTCCGTAGCAGCAAACTCATTTTTAGATAGGTACTGCCTTTAGGCATGAACTGATATTGGTGAGTTCTATCTTTATTTCGTTCCTATTGTCATAGTGATACCTGTGGTGAAACTCATACGTAGAGCATGGAAGGTTAGTCAAATTGAAGTGTTGACGCTTGATCTTATATTTTCTTTCGAGGGCGCCGTGCACTTCTTATATAGGTACCCAATACTAGTAGATAATCCATCATGCCTTTTCAAAGGATTAGCGGTACGATATTCCTTGTAGGCCAAAACCTCTTTGAACCCAAATTTGTGGGAGCAGTAACTTCTGACGCTTCGAAGATCGATTGCCACACGGACAACATGGATGAGACTTGTTGGTTAGAATATGAATGCAGCCTAGAGCCAGTAAGGCGGTTAGGATAACTATTTTCAGAACTAGATGAGACGCATTATAAGACGATGCAGGCAAAATGCAAGACAGTCAACACACAATTGAGGGGGCGACTAGATATGGAGATACATCTCTTAGAATTGTCTACAAATAGGTCGTGATCTCCTCAGACTGAGAAAAGAGATCGTTAAGGACCTTGAGACCTTAGAAAATTATTAGTAATATGAATTCGTTCCAAGCCCTTACAGACCTTGTTACATCAATGCTGCTATCATTTTGAAGAGTGTCGTGACTGGTTTAAGCTCGACGACTGAGAGAATATATGACTTGGTAGCATTGAGAGAGGTTTAAGTAGTTGATAACTTTACTCCACACCAATACTTCACCGTTTGCGTTATCCTATCATATATATCTGTACTTTGTCTTACTCCAGTGGAATAGAATAATGTTGAGAAGGTGTAGGTACATTAAAGAATCCAAGAGAGAGGAGTTAGTTTTGGTTCCTGAGCAAAATGCACTCCTATCTTTCCCCTGGGCCTTCTTATTACCTTAGGTAAGCTTGTTGCATTTTCTAACGATCGTATCCACACCAACAGGTAAGTGACATGATACATTTTCATGCTTCTTCTAATTGCATAGATATACCATATTTAAGGATCAAACCGCCAGTATTTTCTAAACGGTCTTCGAGGACATAATGGCAAACGAAAATTACTTCGAATCGAATCCCCTTTCACACCGTTACTCTAGCGGCCATAGTACGATGGGTAAACCACCCCTAATCAACCTAATACGCAAGGATCCGCACAATAGGAATATAGCTATTATTGGTAGTTGCTTGAGATATGGATCACGTAGTACCACGGCAACTTGCAGCTAAAGGAATAATACTCAGCCCTAATCTCGGTGATATATCATCTCGGGGTAACACTACATATTTTGAGGCGTTCAATCCTTTATGAAGGCAAAAGTATTGACGGTCAGTCCATTCGCGTAAGAGTTTTGCCGAAGCCCTATGCAGAAGGTGTGCTGTTTTTCTATAGATATAATGCCAATGGGCTGAGAGGCTCTATTGTTGAAATAAGATTCTCTTTATACTTAGACATCATACAGTATAAGCAGGAGGCTTTGGCTTATTAGAAATAGTCAGATACCTATGTATTTAATAAGGACACAAATTACGAGGTGGAATTTGGTTGATTGAATCGGTGGCTGAAACTCGGGGTATACGGATAACGAGGAACCATGCAGTATTCATAGGGGGCTGAATACGAGGTTTCTCGTAGACAAATAGTAACGTGTTGGTCCTAATCCTTCCTGACGCCGAAGAAGCCCACGGTAACCACAATAGCAAATATTCGTAGTATATATTAATGAGTTCTCAGACTCTCTCGGCTGTCCACTCCCCATCGAGTTGCACAACTGCGACTGGTCTCTACTAAGGCGCAGCATTGGATACCATATTTATATGCGTTCCCCGTATCACAGCCTCCGTATCTTTGAGTGTCTAGGATAAATATGGCGGTTTCATCCATATACAATACTTTCATTCAAGGTGACGTGTCATATCGTTGGATGCCTATATCAGCACATCTACGATGCCGGCGATATAAAATACCTGTATCTAGTGCATTTTCACCTTCAAAGAGGCCTTTCTATATCATCGTTATAACACTAATTTCTTTTCTAACCGTGTGTTCCTTAATCGTTATAATTGGTACTGCTGCCGCGGCCGTGCCCAAGATGAATCAAACAAATCTCGCAACGTGTTATTTTCCCGACAGATCAATTGATACGTTGGGAATACCTTGCAACAGTACTGCACAAGATCTCGGTGCTGGGAGTTCCTGTTGTCTCCGTCACGATGCCTGCTACGACAGTGGTGCCTGTTTCCAGGATTGGTCGGGAGTTAGTAAGTATATTCCGAAAAGCCATTTTGACCATCTGGCATTCTTTATCTGCTACCAAATAAATATAAGGCCCAGCTATACTTCTTTAGTTTGATATGCTGACAACCAGTCAAGTGTATAGGCAGAGTTGCACAGATCCGACATTTAGGGACTCAGCTTGCCCTAAAATGTGCCTAGGAGACGGTAAGATAGCCTCACGAAGGAGCTATACAGTCTAAACTAATTCTAATAGGGATGCTGAATGTTGGAATATGGATTTCAACTTGTGACATGAAGGGTAGGAAGGCCTGCTGCATAACTGATGATACACCATGTTGTGGAAGCGAGAGTTCGTGGTTTGATTTTGTGAGTGTGTTCGCGTTGATGTCCCCATTCTATACAGGCACCTATCTTGCGATTCATGTTATAGGAGGCGAAGCAGAATGTAAATTTACCGAGATATCACGCCGCTAACTTGCGATGGTCAAGGTACCAGGATCTATAAAGGCTGTTCTAAATGAGGACGGGTCAAACCGTCTAGCTCCCAATGGCGATGCGGGGGAAAGTCCCTCTGCGACTTCAATAACTACATCGACGACTAAGTCTTCAACTGCATCAACTATTACTGCATCTACCACATCATCCTTCGAAGATATCAAGAACCTTACAAGTCCTACTGCCGCGAACCAAGCAAGTTTCTCCACCGCCGCAATAGGGGCTACTGCTGGTTTGGGGGCACTTCTCATGATTAGCTTACTGGCCCTTATATTGATATATCTAAGGAAGTCCAAGAGAAACAAGCAAGAGAAGTCAAGACCCAAAATGCAAACAACCTTCGTAGCACCAACAGCTCAAGGGGGGCCGCAGGTACCGTTCGATAATGAGTCTAACATAGGCCCAACGAATAATACATCGACTGGGAAGCATTGGTCAATAGCAGGTGAACTGCCAGGTGACATGAACCAGTACGAGCTAGCGACTACTAATTAGCTTCATGGAAGTTACAAGACACCAAACCATATAGCATCCTGATAAGCGATAAAATTTATAATACTACCTACCTCCAAGATTAACTACCATGCTACCTTTGCTTTTGATTCAAGGTTGAGTAGGCCTCACTTGTAGCTTCCTCGACCATGTCCGTACGCAGGGGCCTGGTAGTGTTCCCTTCTGGGTTTGTGGGATATATATACCAGCTTTAGCTACACTAGCAACTCCTAGTATGAATATTCCTTACAGAATACGGTATGTGTTGATAGTAACAGTCTCCTTATTTTTCACCTTTCCAGGTTATATAACTACCTAAAGAATGAACGAACAACTATATCAGTTGATCTAGACTTGAATGAAGTATCTAGCTTCACTGCGGTTCTCGCGTGCCAGCATCTACGCTATAAATATATCAATAAATCCAATTTACACACTAAACACTACCGTTGCTACCATTTCAACTTCCAGGCTATACGAGAACATCCTCGGACTTAGGTAAAGTTATGACCCGAGGATAGGTTGTCGGGATCATAGTTCGACCTACAACGACCCTAGCTTGCTCAAGGCTTTTACCAGCCGATAATAAAAAGAGGCCCTATAAGTCCTCAAATCCACTGCCCCCAACCATCAAGCGACGGCGATCAGACGCTTCTAAAGCAGACCGGTTCACCAAGACAAGCATTTCTCCATAGTCTGTATCCTTGGTGATGACTATAACGACTTCCACATACTCAATGACTTTTTTAGCATAAGCAAAGATCGTCCCGCATATCAGACAGATCAAGAACAGTTTGAGCTTGTTCACCCTTACGACCCCATGCTGGACGAAGCCCGAGATCCACATAGGTATTTTTGGCGACGGCATAGAGAGGAATTGTTCTACCGCCGGTTTTGCAAACTCGCAAGCGAAGAATGGCCGAAGCACTTCCTCGTGGGTTTCAAACAACACAGAAGACCCAGTGCAAGGGCTCGACGGTGCTATAAGGATCATGTGTCGAATCAGATCAGCGTTGCTCTTCCAGATTTCTAAAATATCCTGCAGGCCTCCTTGATCCCATTTCTTAGGTTGCATAAAAATAAAATGAACTGTACTCTTACGAAGCGCCTTACATGATTCTACACGAGGGGTGGATTCCGCAGTGTCTTCTTGCGCCCTCGCATCATGATCCCTCTTTACACTAATGATTGGATCGTAAGCTTCGGTGATGCTCTTAGGACTTTTCAATATCCGTGGTTTATTCGAATCCAATGCCTCGGCGGTAATCATGCTTCGGGGTGTCTTAAATAGGAGACATGAGTCACGACCCTGGCTATTCCTTGATTTGCTCGTATGCGTTCATCAAGAGATCACTGAAAGATAAGTTCTGAGCTGCCGGCGGTACACAGTATCCTTCGATATCTGGGAAAACGGCAAGGACGTAGTCTTGGGTCTTGGTTGTCGTACGGCCGCTTCTCCAAGCCTCCATAATCGACACGTAGCTAGGAAAAGGGCCAGTGTATACCCCGTATCTTATTATAGTAATATTGAGTCTTTGGATGTGATTCATAAAATGGTGGCGACTTTAACGAGATTAAGATCAAAGATATCTACGCTATGTTTATATACGCGCATCTGCCTAACGTAGGCGGTAAATAAGTACATATGTCAATGCTCAGATATATGATGTATAGAGATGTGTGTCGCATTGTGCGACTTTCAACTAATTGATATATCGTATATCACATAAATCGCGGTCCGAGGCATCTCGATAATATTAAAGATCCCTCAACTCTTTCACAGGCCAGACTTTATTCCCCGTTGAATCCGGGCGCTCACGATTCCACGCCCAACGCTGCCGCAGCTCTGATTCTAGGGATCCGTCTAACATCCTCGTAACATACTCGCCGATGATGGGGAAGAACTTCCACCCGTGAAACGAGCCACAGGTCGCGACGTAGAGTCCCTTAGAAGCTGGATGCGGCGATATGATAAAATCTTCGCTGGGTGTAACCGCATCCCTAGTATCTAGGGGTTAGTTCATAAGCGTATAGGTAGTTACTTTATAGGTAGATATAGTTATAATATGGGTAAGAAAGAATAGTCTATAAAAACCACATACCAGCATATGCGATGTTCCGAAATCTTCCACGTCTCTCCGCGCTTCCCGAAGGTAGCTCTGCTGGCAAATTCGACGTCTCGCACCAAAGTATCCGGAACCGTCCACTGTGAGTAGTCCGTAGAGGCCGGCGGCGCAGAGATTTGACGACCAGAGGGCATCGTCTGTGTATTCTTGAATATGCACTGACCCCACCACTTCAGTTTTTTGTCTTCTGTCAGTGGTAAGGCGCCATTACTTGCACCTGTGCTACCAGTTAATGCTACCAAACCAAGAAGAAAAAAGAAAATAGCCAACCGCTTACCTCTCTCGGGATCATTCTCCTGAATACTAACCGGCATCCCCGAGAATTCCTCCGCCGTACTATCATCAAGCTGCGCTAGCCCAGTCGTTACTCCCGCCGCGATCATCCTGTCCCCAGCGAGGAACTCATCTCGCCCGGTCTTCTCAGCCACTCCATCCAATAACTTCGGTGTAAAAGCGCCAGTCGACAATATCGTATATGTAGCTGTATATCTCTCTCCACCCTTAGTCAAAACCCCAACACACTCTCCATCCCCTCCAAACACCAACTCCCCAATCTCAGCCGCAACAACCCTAACACCCTTCTCAACCGCTCTCTCCGCCACAGCCCGCAGCGCCCCCTTAGCATCCGCCCACCCGCTCGTCTCATTAACCAGCACATTTTCCACTCCCGTATAATCCGCCCCGTCGAAAACCCCCCTATACAACCCCTTCGCCTCCTCCACCGGCACAACACGCATACCATCCGTAGCCCGTCCCAGCCGCGCATAGTTATCCAGGGCCTGGCGTGCGAACCCCGTGCGACTAATCCAGTAGATGCCCGTCTCGCGGTAGAACGGGCGCCATAGCGGGTCCGCGCGCCAGACGTCCTGCGCTTCGAGCGCGAGCCGGCAGTACACCGGGTCCCGGTAATCGGCACGCACGACTTTATTCCAGTCCCAAGATGCGGCGACGCGGCGCTGCGCTGTGTGCGCGTCGCGGTCGATGAGAGTTACGGATGAGTTTGGAAATTTGGTGGCTAGGTGTAGTGCGGTCGAGGTGCCGAAGACACCGGCCCCGACGATGATGTAAGAGGGAGAAGACTGAGAAGATGCCATTGCGATTGTTGGCAGTATATCTTAGGTACCTACCTGGTAAGTAACTATGAAACTACCTCGTATGAAAAAGGGGGGGTTCACATAAATTAGTTTCGAGTTGGTGTCTTCGGTTTGGTCCTAAATATGACCACGACATTACCGCCGTGGTGCCCCTCAGCGGCCGGGTCGTCTCCGATTATAGGACCGAGATCCCGATCGCCGCAACCACGGACGGGAATTATGCGCCACAAGCTTCTTAGTTGTTGATAAAAGAGTTAAAATTTGTTTAATTTAGATTACCCATGGTCCTAAAATTGATGCAACTTCTTCAGCATTCATGCGTAAGCATCCTTGGAATATTCTGTGCTCGATATGAAGTAGTTAATACATGGTCTGTCTTTGTCTCATACTAAAGCTGGATGGCCTCGGAATCCTTCCTTAAGGACTTATGGTAAAATATCCATATGATCCTAGTTGGCCATATCGCATTTCTGGACGGACCTTATCAATCTCGTCTTTCTAGTACTTTTAATGATAGCTTCGATGTCCTTCTCTTATTCCGCTCTGTCCTTGCTAGCAAGTCCCAAGTCCATGATGCTGTGACCATATCATTATCCACCTTACCGTATGTCTTCGCCTCAAACATCTCGCTCCTATAACTACCTGAGTAGGGGCTGAGTATGTATTACGTCTATAAGCTGAGGCGGCTCAACATATATTTCCTTTACTACTTCAGAGCTCACCTGCTGTCCCCTTTTCCTTATACTCCATGAGATTCGTCGTGTCTAAGTCGTATTATAGTAGCGCAAATCCGCCAAAGCACCATCGACCAACTCGTGGTTACTATATGTTCCGGGAAATACTGCAATCCCGAGTTTCTGCTCTTGAGCGTAATGAATAGGTAGCCTTGGACTCTCAACGGGCTTTTGCGGCTGAAGATTTCGCCGCTACGCTTGCGTTGACGGATGATCCATACCTCCAGTCGTCTTATCGACTGTATCGACTGTATCGCCCATCTATAATAATTAGAACCGACGTCGTTGAAAAATTGTCGCCGGCGTATCCATAACACTCGGGACGTAACGATGCTGTAGGAAAAGTGCTGATCGGGTAGGCCATAGTCCTAAAGAGCCCGATTCTGACAAATAGCATCATCCTTCCTCGCTTAGAAGTCCTACCATCACCTCAACCTAATAGACGCCTCAAGAGAACTCATCATCCTCGTCCTCTCCTGCCCCTCACCCCCCCACTCCTCCTCCCCCTCCAACACAACATCATCCACAGCACCCACGCTCCCGGTCTTCAACTGCACGATACAATCCTGTTGTTTTTGGAAGAACATAGCGACCTCAACGACCTTCTGGATAGCGCGCCCTGTACCTAGCACTACGACTTCGCCCGCGTCTTCGAGCCCGATCCCGCTGCCGCTATTTTTCGAGGCAGACTGTCGCTGGATGGCACGGATGCGCTCGTCCAGGGATGCGTTCTTGTTGCCGGCGAGTTTGTTAGTGAAAGCTCTGTTGGATGCTGATGCTTCGCGTAGATTCTTGTCGAGTTGTTTGCGCACGCGCGCTGTTACGGAGCGGAAGGGCGTTTTAGGAGTTATATAGATACGTCGCGAGGCGCGTGTGGAGGGTATACGCATGGGAATGGGACGTCTTCGGACGGTAGCCCCTGAGTTGGTATTAGTAATTGTCATAGTAGAGAGGGTATTAAGATAGCTAAGGCTTCCGATCTGACCTTTTGGTATAGGTGGCAGCTTTGCTGGCTTTGTGGGCTGTTCAGGCACCTGCGAAACGGTCTCGGATGGCTGTTCGGTGGCCATTTTTTTTTTGTTTATGATTCAGTCATATCAAGTTCTTTTTTAGCTTTCACTTCATCCCCATACAAGAACCTGGGACATGTGGTCACATTCGAAAATACTGTCGCATTAACAATCGAGAAGCAGTTGATTTGAAGATATAATTGATAGCATCTGATATTCAATTATCCATAAGCTGTAAAGGATGAAAATGAGGTGGGGCCTGCAGCCAGGGACACGATAAGATGGACCCACATCACTATCTTTTAGCTTACCCGCCATCGTCCAATCCAACATTATGCAAGTCAAGCATCATCAGTCGAAAGCTCCCCACTTACACGCACTAACAAGGCTACAGCTTATACAAGGTATATTAGGTACCTACACCACATTCGTTCAGCTCCCTCATCATAGCTCCAAAGCGTATACCATCAGATGGCCCGTTGAAATGCGGTTGCCTATGCCGTCTCTCGTCCACAATGTCCGTTGAGATCTGGCCTCCCATCTCGCCGACCGAGCTTAAAATCCAGGAAGATGCCACTCAAGTACGATCCCACCCCCCAATTTATTCGTTCCCTTGCTTCCAATCATATCTCCTTTAGAATACCATGCTCTTCGCTGAAGACGACTTCGTCCTCGTCCCCCCATACAACTCTCTTACAGCTATATACTCACCACAGCAACAATCCAAACAGGCCCGCGAGCTAACCTGGCTCCTAACCTCCCTGCGCACGACCCTCGAGAAAATCAAGCGCGGCCTGGAAGACTGCTGCGCACTCCTAGCTCCCGCCGACTCGGCCGGCAGCACGCTCGTGCTAACAACGCCACGCAACGAGACCGTAAAAGGGCACACAACACGTGTAGGCGCGCGCTTAGTGCGCGGCTTAGTCCATCTGCGACTACGAACTCTCCCACCACAGACTCTATCCCTCGACCCCTCGCGTCCCGTCCGCGTCCCCGCTCTAATCCGTCTCGACGCCCTTCTCTCACTCTCACTTGAGTTATGCCTCGCCCTCGAAAAACACCAGAATCAAACTACGCCCCCGCCCTCCGCGCCGTACCTCGCCTCCCAATTACGGCTGCTAGCACTACATATCGCAGAAGCAGCAGCGCTAGTCAAAGGGCCGCCTCAACCGCCTGCGCGCCCATCTACTAGTGCTTCTACAGCGAGCCGCGAGGGGCCCGGACGCCAGGAGCAGAAAGTTCCTCTTGATACGGCGTGGACGACGAATTCGGTGTCGCTGGGTCATTTCACGCCCCCGCTTAGTCGTAACCTATCCCTCTACGTAACGATTCAAGATGCCTGTCTAGTCATATATCTCCGCGCCCTAGAACCCGCCGACGCACCAGTTAACTTCGGAACGAAACTCGCGCTCGCTATTGGTACGACACGGCGTATCGAACACGACGAGGCCGACCGCGTGTTCTCGTACCGATGTGACGATGAATCGCGGATCGATAGCGGCGCGTCTACCTCCGAGCATCATGGGAATCATAGTAGTAATAGTAGTGAGGGTACCGAAGGAAATAAGAAAGAAGTTGAGGTATATGTACGCGAGAAGGTGCGCGTTGAAAGCGCGGACCCTAGCCTTCTTTCGCTGTCCGCAAAGTTGAGCGCTTTAGGCAATACGTTGGGGTTGGCACGGCGTAATTTGGCTGCCGTCATGGAACAGGATTTGGAAGAATAAAACGACGCGAGGGAACACCGTATTGCAGAATCTCCCTCTGCTTAGAGACTAACACGGTTGAGTTATATGCATTATGGGAGTAGTGGTTGGGGTCTCACGGAATAAAAATGAATGAAAACAGCGGTTACGAATAAGGTAATCATTTAAACCCATAAGAAAATCAAATCGCGATAAACACTTGAAATTGTTTCTCGAGTTCGAGTTCAGCTATGACTTCGCCTCCGAAAAGAAAACTCGAATTGCTTCATATTGGTATCAGTGAAATGTGACCGTAATAGCATTTAGGGCGTGATTTTCAGCCCCTCCAAGCTCTCATCAGAAGTATCCCGATCTCGGCAGTAAAAGTACAATCACTTTCGTAGGTGCCCCCTCGCTAACATGGCGGAGATCGACTACATAAAGAAACAATCGCCTCGAAACTCCAGTTCTCCATATCAGATGCTTAGTTCGGTCCAAAAAACGGCTGATATTAACGCAATCGTCCCTCATCCGCAGAAATTACGCCACAGGTGACCATGGCAGTGGGACAAGAATCCTTGACTTCATGTGTTGGATCAAAGGAACAGTCTTGTGGACCGTCTCGGCCCAGCCTTCTTGCTTCCAGCTCTCCTCTCGTCGAACTTTACGCTCCTCGAGGTTCGCAAATTGCCAAAGATGGTGAACTGTGTTCAGATCACCGATCTGTACGAACCAAGCACCGACACCCTCCATGACTTGCCTTCGCGCCTTTAAGCCTCGTCGCCAGTGATATTCCCACTCTAACAGGTTTCCAGGGTGAAGAGTGTAGGAACGTAATTCGAATATACCACCCAATTGACGTGGTGAAGTAGTTGGCCAGAACGAAAATTCCTGCATGATCGACGTATTCTTAGACTTGATAAGCGTCTTGAGCTTTTTGTCGAATTCGGCGAAGTCAGGGTGGCGGGAGATGGAATTTAGGGATTGGTGGTATCCTTGGTAGCGCTGGTACTCCCAGATGTGAACTTAACATTTACATCATCAGCCTATCGTAACTAATTTTGAATTAAGGCCCAAGCCGTAACTTACCGAATGTGTCGCAATCGCCCACCTCGGTTCGCCAGCTTCCAACGAGATGAACCTTATTATCCTCCAAGGAAGCCATGAGTGGATACCATTGGCCAACCAACTCAACATACTCGTCCACCTTGTCCGGCTGCACCTCGTGGAACACGATCGAGTGAACGTACTTGCCACGGGCCAGCACCGCGGAAAAGCTCGCTTCGAGTTGAGCATCCAACTCGCGTCCCTCTTTTGTTCCGTAGATGACCCTAGATAGAAGATTCTCTGGTCGCTCGGGTTCCTTAGTTGACACCTCCGCTCGCTTTCCTGTATGGGTGCTTAATGAGCCCAAGCCCTGGGAGGTTTCTTGGGCAGTAGACGAAGAATCATTAGTAGAAGAATTTTTAGTGAACCTACTTGCTTCGCGCTCCTGATGTGCTTTGACCAACTGCTCGCGGAACTCCTTCTGCTTCGCGTTGAACGAGTCAACACCCTCGGGTGTGATGTCCGCCAGTGTCGGTGTACGCTGGCTAGCAGAGGTAGAGCTGAACGCTCGAAGCGAACGCGGAGCTCCTACCGCTACTCGCGCGAGACGTCGGGAAAACATGGCGGTTGCTTGAGTTTGAGATATTTCTAAGGGGGGTTGTTAAATAAACAAAGAGGGACGTTTAGAGTGAGGGGATTGATTTGGTTAGAGCAGGATTCGAGAACGAAGGCTATGGGAAATCCGGTAACAGCGTCGAATTTAACGCAAGTTAATAAGAAAATGAGTGAAGGTGCTAAGGAATGCTAATGTCGGGATTTGTTGGTGATATGGTGGATATAGTGGTTTTTCGCGGGGAAGTCCAGATGAATTTAGGTAGTCCTCTAGGTAACAGGCAGTTACGGAGGTTCCGCGGAGCAGTTCGAATATCGAAGGGTAAAGCACAACTGGTCGGAGAGAAGAAGCAAGGTCGATGGTGGAGGGTAGCAAGCGGCAGGTAGGAAGTAGCGTTTAGGTACAATTAATTGGTAGGTACTTTACTCCCCCGCCTTTGAATTCGGGGGGAAGCTTAAAAGGTCGTAAGTTCATTCCAGAGCGATTTCCCCAGCTTTTGATGCTGCTGCTTAACAAATGTGGAGATGATCTTCGAAGGTGTGACACTGTGCAATGATGTCAGTAGATTTATCGGTAAAATCATTGGCCGTGACCGACGATTGTTCTTGCCATCTCGAGAAGATTCAAGTACTTCGTACTTCATGCCTTACCTAAGGCATCAGAATTACATAACATAACTCGATAAGACAATCGCCAAGTTCCGGCTTAGCGGCAGAAGAAAACCACTCGCTTCCATTACAATCTCAACCCTCAATCATCTCCAATCTCGACGCCGTCTACCACTCAAATCCTCCGAATACATATTCAAAATGTCGTCTTATTGGTCTTGGTTGGGTGCTTACCCCCTCAAGAAGTTCCCGGCGCCAGTTCGTACGTCAATTGACTCCGCAACCCAGATTCGAATTGCATAATTTGCGACAACTACTAACATATCGATAGTCCGGCCCTATGCCCCTTTCTTCGTCGCTGGTATGATACACCATGATCGATATGTTGCGAAATTAGCGTATATGGATAAGACCCTAACAGATGAACAGGCCTGATTATCGCTTACGGTGTCAACTCGGTGCAAAATTCCATGATGCAGTGTATGTGTTTATCATAGCTCCTAGAGAGCAGAGCGCAGAGGAGCAGAAATAATTGACAATTCTTCAATAGCCGACGAGTGGAAGAACGATCCCCGCAACCCGAACGCGAAGTCTGGTGGACACTAGAATGGAGGTGACAAACGTGGAGAAGGCGACCAACTATCCCGAACGAGAAGCATTATAGATGGTCGATTCATTCCGATAGACGACCAAGGAAGGACTGTAACATAGACTATGAGTTCGCGTTGAATCGAGGGCTATGTCCACCAATATGCATTCGTGCCATGGTCGAATGATAACCCTAGACTTGGGACTTGTACGATCTGTGCCTATCATAATTTCAAGTATAGCTGCCGTCCTGACAGCTTAACTAAATTCACTAGTTTGAAATACATAGTCAGCTTCAAACTTGGAGTTACAAGTTCACCGTTATACTCGTGTAGGTTTACTAGCCTCCGATTGTAGCACCCAGGTCAAAGAGAAATAGGCTTAAGAGTTCGAATTTCAAAAGGAATTAGATTTTACCACATTTTGAAAAGTAATCCAATGAATTATCTATACAAGGCCAATTAATTATTAAATTCACAAATACTTGTCCTAATATCATAGTGGCTGCATGACAAATACATGCCAGTCTTATTCGGTCAATCCGGGACCATCTCTTAGCACGATACTATTGAAAAAATCCCCTATCTCACATGTTACTTACTCATTCGCCGATTTCACCTCAGATATTAGGTACATACATCTTACCTATCAGGCAACTTTACCTCACATAACTCTATATTACAACTCTACAACTCTATACTACCTTCATGAAACATTTCATCCCACCTCATCCGCGCACAATCCGCTTTACATTAACAATATTCTCCCGTCACCAAACCCGGTCCCTCGCTATGTCACCACCGGCCGTACCCGGGGCCACGCCAACCCAAACCAAGCCCTCAATCCCCAAAGGCAAAACCGAGCTGAAAATCCTCATGCTCCACGGCTACACCCAATCCGGGCCCCTCTTCTCCTCCAAAACCAAAGCCCTCTCAAAACTCCTCACCAAAGCCCTATCCCCCGCGCCCTATAACCTACACCCAACGCTCCTCTTCCCCACGGCCCCGCACCGTCTACGCCCCTCCGATATCCCGGGGTACGTCCCCCCGGAACAAGGCGAAGATGACGACGAAGAGTCCGACAACTGGGCCTGGTTCCGCAAGGACGAGGCTACGGGTGCGTATCGCGGGTTTGAGGAGGGAATGCGGAAGATTGCGGCTACGGTTGCCGAAGCGGGCGGTATTGACGGTGTGTGCGGGTTTAGCCAGGGAGGAGCGGTAGCTGCGCTTGTGGCTGCGGCGTTGGAGCAGCCATATCGGGATCCGCCGTCTTCGTCCCATGCAGCATCCCCTTCGGACCCGTCCTCGAGACCTGAAGAGGCAGACTGGTCTTGGGTGGACGAGTTGCGCAGCGCGAACAACAACCAAGCGCTACGTTTCTCTATCGTGTACTCTGGTTTCTACGCGCCCATTGATTCGCTACGATGGCTATATGAGCCGCCTATCACGACTCCAACGCTGCATTTCCTCGGAAGCCTGGACACGGTCGTCGAGGAAAGCCGGAGCAAGGGGCTTGTAGACCGGTGTAAGGATCCTACGGTTGTTGTGCATCCAGGGGGTCACTACGTGCCTGTTGCCAAGGACTGGGCTATGGCTTTGGCAGGCTGGTTAAGGCAGCGGTATGAGGACCCGGAGGCCGCGACTAAGCGCTCACTGTGAATAGGGGCTGCATCGTTGACGTCTAGGATTTAGAGGCTCTGCAAGCAAGATGAACCTGGAAATTAGAAACTAGATATGGAGGCATTACACGCACGACTACAAGCATAGTAGAATCAAGACATAGAAGGCAAACCTGTTCTTCACGGGCATTATATACCTCCTAATCTAAATATTGTACATTCGCATGTTTTCGATGCAAACCTGTGCTGTGCTGTGCAGTTCCTCTCGAACCCAAGTCCCTCTCCCGGTCCCGAAAGAATTACTCCCCAAAAAGAGTCCTCATAAAGTCGTCTATCACGCCTTCTTCTTACCCTTTTTCTCTTTGCCCTCCTTTGCGCCGGGCTGAATCCTCGCCATCATCTCTTCCTTGGTAATGAGATGATCTACACGTTCCAGTAAACCGAGCAGGCTCTTCATATTGTGGCTCCATTCGTTAAGGACGTCGTCGACGTCTCTGGGCTTGGCGAAGCTGACTATACTGGCTGGCCGATCAATGCGGGCAAAGACCGTCTTGGAGCACACCAGTTCACTAATATACTTCTCCGTCTCATCCTCCGTCAGGTCGAGCAGCTGAGTCAGGCGCTTCATGCCGATGCGGGTGTAGTATTTCGCGATAACTCTAACATTGTGCTCGATAACACGTTTGCGCAGATCCTGCCATCGCTGATAGGCTTTCTCGTCGCCCGACTGGTTTGGATGCTCGTCGAAGATATCGGTCCCACAGAGATGAGGACCATACTGCTTCGCAACCTCTGGCCATCGCATGAGCTCATGCACTGTGAACAACTTGAGAAGCGCCGCATCAACAGGGATTTGGGTGTTTCGAGTATCACGGAAGATACGTTGGAGAAGATCATGTTGTTCGTTGTCGTGGGGGGCGAGTATGACGAAGTAGATGATGCGTTGCAGGACCTAATTAGCATTAGCAAAAAGTTATAGTAGACGCGTGTGGACAACATACGGGTTGTAGTTTTGAAGGGTCCTCCTCGACAGCTTCGGTATCCAATACTTGCCTGTAATGCTTGCAGGCGTCGAGATACTTGTCGTCGTGCTTTGCCAGAGTGATCTGTTGTTCGTAGTAGGCCAGCTTTAAGTCCGTAGTGTCGTCCTCCTGCTCGGGGGGGACCTCCTCCCCACGCTTCAGCTTCTCTTCGCGGGTCTTCTTCTCTTTCTCTAGTTGCTCCGCCGTCTTCTTCGGCTTTCGAGATAGATATCTGGTGCTAATCTTGCGGCTGAGAATGCTAGCTTGCGTCCAGTCGCCGTTCTCGATACATAATGCGACTTGGGCAAGTATGAATTCCGTCTTCTCCCGTCTCTCCATTGAGCCAAAGGTTTCTACCTGCAATTCGCAGAGGATATCCATGGCGGACTTAAGATCTCCCTGCTCCTTCTTGATGTCCGACAGAATTTTAGTCACGCGAGCGCGCTCGACCTCGACGAATATCTTGCCCTCGGTCACGGTGCGCAGGGTCTCGATTACCGATAGTTTAGTATCTAGATTCGGGGTAGCGTCGAGGAAGCCCATAACGGTCTGGACCATCTTGGTGATAGCTTGTTTAAGCTGGCCATGCTTCTTGGAGAGGACCAAGACCTGGTCGTTGAGCAAACTCCAGTTTCCGGCATTTTTACAGATCGTACATATCGCAATTAAAGTTCGAGACGTAGAGGCGAGATCGGAAGCCTGTAAAGTATTGCAGTTAGTGATGCTGAACGACTACGGACCGAAGAGAATAACTCGCCTGTCGGGTTTGCTTCTCGAAAATAGTAAGCTTCTCGATAGCTGCTTGAATATCATTCTATAAGTACGTCTTAGCAAACTATAGTCTAGTATTTCTAGCCCGGATATGTGCACCTTAGCAAGCTTCTCTGCTTCGGCGATTTGTACGTCAGCTTCCTTGCTGAAGTCCTTCTCGGGCTTCAGAGCTGCGTCCGCCATGATTTCCGAAATTTCTTGATGACGTATAATCTAATTAAAAGGGAGTGCGGTAATTTCGGAGTAATATGTGAGGGCGGGAGCTTTGGTGGGTTACGTTTGATGTGTAGTTCGTGGTGTGGAATATTTAAGGCGATGATGATGGAGGGAAGCTTAAGGCGGCTGCGAGGCGACGAAAGCTCGCGCTGCCTTGCAACGCAACTTGAATTGAATTGGCCCAAGCGTTGAGCTTGGTCAGCCTGATAACAAAAGTCACATGTAGATAAGTCGCTAGAATGTCTCGCCGCAGTACCTACTATTTCCATATTCATTTATCCATCGCAATTACATTCGTATATCCCATCATCAACAAGAGGTACATAGTGAAAGCCACGAAACTCTTAGTAACCGGTTTGCCGGTGAGCTACTCATTAAATGTTCATGAACTCGCAACATATTATCACGTTGAGCTACACTTATTTTCGCAAGCACTATTCCATTCAAACTAAACTAAATGCAAGGCGTCCGTCTTATACGATAGCTACAGCATTCGCGGTACTTGATATCCCCCCTATAAGTTTGTATTAGTTAATAGCACCATTATTATTCATGCCCTCGGGCTACATACTACATACCTTTCACATGGTTAGGAGCACTTGAGAGGAAGAATGTCCATTGTTTCCTCTCGACACACTTCTCCGCAAGTTTCTCGAGGTCCCAAAGCTCGCCGATCGGAACTCCCCAGAGTGCCAACAACTTCTCGTGAAGGTAGTAATCTATTATGATGTAAATTGCATCAGTAATCCTCTCCTTTCCATTGGTTTTATCAAGCGGAAAATTTCAATATACCTTTCTCAGATGGCCAGGCTTCAAACGCAGGATGGTCACTAGCTACAGCCGAGAAGTAGGAGTCATGCAATAAGTCGAGAATATCTTCACTTTGCTCCACACCTATATAGCGCTGCTCATCATGACGCCCGAATATATTCTTCCCGAGGTGGCAAGGGGCCCTCTCCTCGTATGTAAGAGAGTTTGCGTTCTTCAGAAACCCAGATCTGACGACTAGGATATCGCCAATCTGAATGTCGCCTCCTTGTGCGGCAGGTCTCAGATCAATTCCTTGCGACTCTGCCACGTTGACGAGGTCGCTGTGAGTGATTTTGAAGTTATCATAATATACTGGCTTTATATTTCTGGCTTCGGCCCAGCGGCCATAGTCGAGAAGTAGACCTCTGCCCGCAATGCCGTGCTTCGCCCACGCTTGCATGCCGCACTTGGTCGAGGCATTTTCACCTTGAATATCCTTGGCGGTGGTCTGGATAAAATGACTCAGAATACGTGACATACGCAACGGTTGTAATGAAAATGCTTACCCCATTATAGAAATACCCCGAAGGGATATGGCAAAACTACGCTGGATTAGTCACTATGCTAATAAACCTCGCCGGATACTCGATCCAAACTTACATGACGAAACCCATCCCATTGAGAAGTACTTTGAGGATTCATGTCATAAAGGTCGTCAAATCCGATATCTCCCAAAGCATGAATAGAATGTTTAAAAACCTGTCGTCCATAGCAAGGTGGTGCGACCTGGTCGAATGGAAGACTATATGTACGAATCAGTAAACAAGTATCTCCATATCCCAGACTAATCTTGCCCAAATTATATTCGAGACATTTTACTGACCCAAGAGGGATGATCTCGCCAGAAGAGACGGTTTCCAGTGCTTTCTTCACCCTTTCCGGCGTTTGTAGGTTTAATCTACCTAGCTTCAGACGGCGTCAGCTGGGTAGTTACTTTATAGTCCAATCCATCGACTTGAAATAGGAGCCAACAAACTTCATCGTCGCTTCCCCATATCCATGCCGCATCTTCAGGCTGGCCGGATTTTGGCCGCAAGTCTTTTCTCAGTGGAAGGTCCATGTCAATTAATAGCGGTGTAGTGTTAATGAGGGCTGTACTAGAAATAGAAATGACGAGGGGGATTGTCAATAACGAGATATAAGGTTTAACTAGGGCAAAGATGATATTCTGTTAGACAACGGGGAATATATAAGGCACAGGTAGATATATCGGAGTAATATAAACTATCATCATATCACGTTTACATATCCACCTATCATCCTCGGTCATCGAAGCTTTCCCCTCCTGATCATCAAAGCTTCCCCTCATGGACAAGCACAAATCTAGAATGGATTTCTATACGCTGGTGACGTTATACAACTGCGACACATGTGTGATTTATAATACCGTGCAGGTTGTGGAGGTTGCAGCCACAGCGCTACCAGGTAGAATTCGTTATCCTCCAATAGATTTGGGGCAAGATATATCCACATTTGGCTATAGGACTTTTACTATCATACCTAATAAGAGAATCTTGTCGTCTTTGCTAGCATTCCCCAGTTATGCAACCCTGTAATAGCCTAACAAAGTTTTAGGTGATAATATACATAGTAAAAACTCTCTAAGGCTACCTTATACTTTAGATAAGTATTTGTTAATAAGTTGTGGTAGGTAATTATTAACGCAACCCAGAAAGTCTACGTAAGAATTACGGCGCATATGATCACTGGATTAACTCGGATATATCTTGTGTGACTCGATATTAGATATATTTACTGTGATATAGAATTATACCAGATTTATTCTACTATGTTAAGCAGTTCAACATACGGAACCTTCCCTTTTCCTATGTATTACGAACGGACATCCCGATCCCTAGTCCAGACAATACCGTTCCAAGCTGCGATATACACTTACTTGGATGCGTCCCTCGTAATGAAGTCTTATTTTGGCGTTTATCAATGTAGAAAACGCGCCATGTGTTGTGCTTCAACGCTGACTATCATAGTTAGAGGCCTGGAGTTATGCAAAGTCTCTTTTACTGAGTTGCATAGATCTAGGGTCGCCCACATCTATCAGGTACCTTAAAATTTCCTATACTACCTAGGTAGTCACTAGCAAGAAAGGCTCGAACCAAAGGAGAAAGGGGTAGAAACTGTGTTTTAATCTCAGAAACTTATTCTATCTACAGAAGATTATTCTTACCTATTTGACACTAAGTTGACAGAGATGGAAGAATTGCCAAAACACTTCCTTTGCTTGAATTTTCATCCCGTTTGTCAGCATCGGATAAAGAGTTCGGTTGATCTTTCAAGCCCCAGACATTTATTAATTTTATTTCCTCTAAATTTCTGGGCTTTGACCGCGGGAAACTCTAGCGCGTCACCTAATCTACACAGTCTTTACGAAAAATATATTTCCAATGGGACGGCCCACAGTCAATTTCTAGGACATCGACTAGACGCCATCATGGACGCTAGCAAGATTAGGACATACCTAGCAAATATTCTATATAACCTCTCTTTGCGCTAGATTATTTTCATCAACTAATCTAAGCGCAATCCGAATTGGTGTAGTGGCTAACATTTGGTGCTCTCATGTCAATACTTAATAACTTGACAGATCCGCCAAGCCCGGGGTTCGATTCCCCGATTCGGAGTTCTTTTTACGTTCTGATCTTATCCCCCTTTTTTTACTTTAAGTGAAATACCTTAAATAGTCATCTTTGAATATGGCATATCTCCATCGGCCCTAGACAACACCCAAAATCTTAGTAGGTGATGGAGTTTAGTTCACCTATTGGTAAGGGGGTTCTTACATCACCCATGACAACCTTGGGCACATACCGAAGAGATATATATCCTCAATCGCGCATAAGTGGAAAACTTATTCCAACGCTCTTTAATTGAAGGTTTTCAATCCTTATCCTTCACTTTTATTTATAAATAACAATTGCAACAAGCATAATAGACCTTCGACATTGAAGCGTTAGACTGTTGTGTGCAAATCGGGTCCGTTATATCAAGTCCACCTAAGGACATATGGCCAACCTAGACAAGTACGAAACAATTTATGTATTTATAGGTACAGGGCTTATCACCTCTACCAACTTGACAGTGAGAGATATCACTGTTAACTTCTCCTACCCTCACTCATGGCCTGCCTCTTATGGTAGGTGAGTTACTATTTATGTCAAAGGGGAGAGCATAGCTTGCGGGATGTTATGTTAGAAATAAATTAGGGATCTAGTGCTTCTATTGCGATATTTCTAGCCAAGACTGGCCATAAATTGTTTATAAGACAGACAACTGAAAAATCAACAAAGTACCGATTTTGGGACTATTACATATGAGAACCTAAAGGATTAAAATGAATGTATCCAGCCCGGAGCCTAAACCCCAGAACCTATCATATGACCCGGTTTTCGGTCTTATATGGAGATCCTGGGCCCGGGGAAAACAACCACCAACCGGACAGCCTCTCGGTCTTGTATCTTCCCTCCCGGTAACTTCTTCCGAATCCTGGCTCACATATTGAGTCAGCCCTCGTCACTTTCCAAGTAAGTGCTTAGTTTTATATATGGTGTTACAAGGCCAATAGTCTGCTCCGAACAGTCCATCACAAGACTAAAACTACTTACAAGTTGGTCGACAAGTCAAGTGTTGTGCAACAAAGTGCAAGATCGTGAATCACTTTCCTCATACAAAGATGGCTGCAAAACGATGTGGTTGTTTTCTAACAAGTACATCCGACAGATCTTCTATTTAATTTTACATGTTCCCCCTTTTCCCAGCCTTGTCCTTTCAACATCGACGTATTCATAGGATAAACAATATACAACCTTGATCGTCTAAATTGCCTTTGAACTGCTCATCTATCAAATATTCTAAACAGGGATATTGGAATACAACCCGTTCATCTTTCGACTGCAAAATCGACAGCCAAGATGTGTCGACTCGAGCACTGGCTTTGCTGCATATGCGAGGACGCTTATGTTGCCCTTAACTTCTTTTGTGTGGATGTGGCTCCTGGAGCACCAACCTGTCCGAACACGACCCGTTACGAGCGACATATCGCAGCACGGTATTGTTACTTCTGTTCTAATGTAGGTCATGGCGGCGCCCCTCTACCGTCAAGAACTAAAGAATATCTCGATAATCTTGCAAGTCTGGAAGGTATGCTTCGTGTGGCGGCTAGAACGGACCGAGATGATGTTACCGTTTCGGTGTTTAGCAACTGGCTGATGGGGTTTTATGGCCCCAAAAACATCCGCCCTTTCGCAGCCAGCCACCCGGCGATACACAGCGACTCTACTAAAGACCACTTCGCACGCAACCTTTCACCGCCACAAAAGGTAGCTTCTTTTATCCTTACTTCATCTGAAATATCTCGGGCTAGCGCGTTCATCTATCAAACTGCAATCGTGTCGAACTTGACAGCTCAGCCATGCTTCCAACCTCCTGCAATGGTCCCAGAGCAAGGCCAGCCTAGTTGCAGAACCGACAAGGGAGTCCGTCGCTGGTCAAATAGGACACATAGAATGATGTCCGCCGAGATGGAACAGCAAAGCTCGTCATCTTCTTGGCCGAGTTCATCTCATACATCACCAAGAGATGCTATATATGCTTCCTGGGAAGATAGCAGTGAGCCCTGGGATACTGCCAAGCCAGACGTCACTATGCCCAACAGAAAGCGTTTGCCTATATCGTTTATTGCCGTCGACGACGACGACGACGACGATATCGATGTTCGTGTAACGGCATCCAGCAATGACTTAAAAGGTAGGCAAATTGTGGCCCCGCTAGCCTCTACTCCAACTTTTGCAGGTAATAATGCAAAACCTACTGTCGATACTGTAGATCACGTCCAACAGCCTGTTGCTATGAGCTACGTAACTGTGACTTCTAGCGACTCGACTGCTCCGGTAATATCCAACACCGATAACATTAGGGATGACAGAACCGACAAGCAGGGGGTTGGGAAACTCCCCAGAACCCAAAGGCCCACCCGATCACCCGCTATTATCCCGGTAATTCCTCTTGTTCCTATCGTTACAGCTAGGACTCCTCGAGGGCCTGTCAAATCTCGAATTGCATCTACCCCCAGAGCTGTAACTATTCCGATCGTTACTTCAACTGTGGCCCTGACTCAAACAAAAGCCGAAGCTGCAACTCCAACACCAACTAGTCCACAAGTCGTAGTATCGGCCGAGGTAAACGTTGAGAAGGAGAATGCCAAGGCCAGGACTTCCAAATCTGTCACTCCTAAGGACACCGCAGCTGCTCCACGCGAGGAGGATGAGCAAAAGAACTTACCTGTATTTCCCGAGGTACAAAAGAAGCCCCTCCTCTACAGCCAGGCAATTGCTACCAACACCTCACCTAATGCCATTCCTACCGGCCCCCGCGGCCACTTCATAAACCACACTGAGAGCCAGGACGAGCCGAAGAAGAAGGATCTCACGCAGAAGCGACCAAAGAATTCACGCCCGAAGAGAAAGGGGCAGAAGCAAAAACGAGGACAAAAGAAACAGCAGCAGCATACGCAAGAACAAGAGCCTAAACCGGAGCAAAATTCGGGGCAAGAGCCGGAGCACCATCAATTCCGACTACCAAGTCTATCCTATCGGGATGCTCTTAAAGGCAGTCCTACAGGAAATGACATCTTGCCCAGCTCATCCTAACCGCATTTACCTCCTCAACAAGGGAATAGAGGCCAGATTAGCACAACCAAGTGCTTAAGGCAGAACCCACGGCGGGTATAGTCTGGATTCTGGACCTTTACCTCCGAGGGGAGTGGATTTGACGCGATGATATATTGTTCATGATACGATCCTCTCTCGCATCATCTGCAACTCCTCGGCCACCAGAACATTTTCGTGCAGCATTGTGGAGTTCTAGGAGTATTTTTACGCAGGGACCTTTTGAGTCTCGACTTGTTTTGTTGTTTTCGTGCCCAGATTTTTGAAAAGGAGGCAAGGACGAATGGAGCTTTTGTTCCGGTTGTACTGTTTTTATTGTTTGATGTATGGGAAGCAGTATCTAAGTAAATCAGACGAAATAGGATAAGCAAGCCACTGCATGTAGAGAGGCTGGCTATTACTATGTAGCCACGTTGTCCATGTTGTTGGAACTTAGTATTTGCGTTAACAAACATACCTAGGTTAGGTAGCTAATTAAAAGGAGTTTAACAATTTCTCGTCCCAACTTGGATCTAACTAACCATCTAGTATGCCACTTTAACTTAGATATCACAAATCAGGCGTATCTCACCATGTTGAACAAAGACTTTGCCACAGAGCCATATAATACGTAGGGGCCTCCAAACGAGATAGTTACCAAATACGCCACCTGAGGCGTGTGTCGAGATATATGAGGCGAATATAACACGTGTAGCATAATCACGTTTCACCCTGAATATCCTGTTTGCGCCTTAGCATTAGACACCTGTCAAAAATTAAGCGGTTTGACTAAGGTAGGGCCGGCTGTGAAACATATAGCTATGGTATTTAGTCATCGATAGAAGTTGACAGTTGTGTAGGCTATGAATCCTCTGGAGTCTGGGCTATTATGGAAAAGAATTGCGACGTACGTACGTCGTGCGAGAGTGGCTGTCAGGATGGAGAAACATTCGTATTCGCGTTGCCTCCTAAAGAATTCTGCATCATATTTCTAAGGGTCTCTATGGGAATCCCGTAGATTCGCGTCTGGCCTCGCAAGTTGTCGTTGTAAAGTGGCAAACGGGGTGGAAATAAAGTGGAACTTTATGAAGTCGGAATTGAGCTTAGGTACCTATTTAGTGGGGTCATGTGACAGGGGATAGCTTCAGCCACATTGTGGCGTATGATCCGGCTGTGCATGAGACAGGGGTCAAGGTGGTCAAGGAGGTGTTCGTTGGTGCCAGAAGAGTGGCGAATATTCCCGAACAAGCCTCCCCCGATTTTCGACGGCGTCAGCGGCGGATTCGCGGGCGAGGCCTATTCCGAGCGGAGACTGGCGCGCTGGCGAGACGATGATACTACTTGTCAGCTCGGGTTTGCCTACCTGTTACCTTAGGTAATGTATAGGTGAATCCGTAAGAGGGTATGATCATCATTGTTGATGCATTGCTGTCGTGGAATTGACGAACCAAACGCGACATGCGACGCCATTTTCTTAGAATAATGCTTACTCTGCGTAGCGGAGCGGAAGAACCTTAAGATAACTCACCGTCATAGCTACCAAACGATACCAGCACATCACCACCGTCAAAGCCATAGGGAATGATACTCATATTCAAAAGCCGCCGTGGCGAAAGAAGATGTGGTTTGTTATCCAAAGGTTGATGAGAAGATAATTCGGCCCTTTCTTTAAGGTCGTAATCTCTGGTTTTGATAGCTATGCTCCTAGCTCGATATCAGCTTCAGCTCGGCTCATCAAGCTTCGCGTCCCAGTGATCCCCTAAATCTAGTTAATCCTAGACCGCGTTCGGGCTGCTACCAATAAATTATCAAGGAGCATAATCCGAGGATGTGGATACCTCCACACCTGCTCACCGACACGAGTTCTTAGAGGCCGGATGATCTGCTAGGCGCGATCTCAGGTTATCTATAACCGAGTCCACAAAGTAGCGATAGTTAGTGAAGACATGAAAGTAATGACGGAAGATATACCTAATGTTGGTCAAAAGTTGCAAGGTAACAACGCATCCAATGTCGTATTGAGATAAAACAATCTCGATGGCTTTGCTAAGAGGCCGCGTGTGGATGAATCGGGATCGAAAAAGGCCAGTCATCATACCGAACTTGACGCTGGTGGTGCGCGTGAAGACGAGGAGACTTCATTTTCTAAGAGGAAAAAGGATTGCGAGCTTGAATGTGGCTAAATGCTCCTAGCTTGGCATTTACGCCGGCCGGCTCGAAGCCGCTATTCGATTAGTTGTGGCCCCGGCCGTTTGGTTACGGCGGAGCGCGGGAACACGATCCTTACGGTTGCACTCGGCGGGACGGTTGGGCATGAAGCTGACTCCTAAGTTTCAGGCCGGGATGGTGGCTAAAGAAAGGAATATCTAGCGTGGGTAATGGGAACTACACACATGCAGCGTACACATGTATGCTTCTAATGCGGATCGTGGGGATCGTGTGGGAACATCCCGAGGGGCCAAGATGCGTAGACGCAGAAGTGGGGGATTTGATCGTTCGCTCGAAACGTTTAGTTGCCCCTTTTCTTCATTATGGCGTGCCTCCCAAGCGAGGGGTACTTCAGAGGAAATGGTTTGATTATCAATAATGCAGCGAGCTTATTTGCATCACAGGCGCCACCGTGTCGGTATTAGCGGATCAAATAGAATGTCTCACGGTAGATGTAATAGATGTAAGATATTGGCCATGTGCTTATCCGCGAACAACCCTATGGTATAGTACCTACCTACACACCTACGCCAAAGAGAGCCCCCCAAAACAGTGACGGATCTGTAAGGCTGTAGTCGCATCCCTCTATTGATCATCACCTAAGTACCAGCAATGGCAGATACGCGTCATAGATTTGTACTCCCCCAGAACCTCACTCCCGCCGGCGGGTGTTAATAAGCAGGAGGTTTAAGGACAACCCTAGAACGTTCTCTCGTGGACTGTCCGAGTATGACCTTATTCCGATTCGAATTTGCTCATGTAGAGAGGAAGACCGGTCGAATTGATCTAGAATATACGAGCATCACCTAAAGGCGGTCGAAGCCCAAGGAAAAGTGCTGTTCGCTGGGACCACTAACAAGGTAAGCGTTGCAGATCCATATTGGCCTATCACATGCGTTACGGAGCATTTGCTCCGGCTCATCACAGAGCAGTACATAGTATGCCCCGTTTAGCTGTGTGCTGGATTAGACAAGCACAAAAAATTAGGAAGGGTAGGCAGACTGTAAACATGAATTGCTAGAGTAAACAGAAATGAGAAACCCTCTTCTTGTACATTTCTCGGGGTTGTGTGTTACGTATTCCCATGACCAGCAATTGCCACAGGGAGTTTCATCAGCAGCACATCAGTGGTCAAATTGTGCTTTTTTGGTACGGTGGTGGCGATTCTATAGTCGTATTACAATACTTGTATGGACGTTTATGTCCTATTTCTGTACTCGAAAGCCACACCAACATTTAATGAGCCACGTTTATACGGATGGTATGCCAAATCAACAGTTGTTGTCGAGACTTTCGTCCTTCCAGGGACTTTCCATATTCAGGTGTTCTTTGCAATTCAGGGCAAAGACCCAGCTTGCAACTTTAATGTGCACTGAGCACACCGCGGAGTGCCCTGTCTGCGGGAAACAATACCTCGTCTATGTCGAGTTCTGCAAAGACTATCATCCTCCATTGTTACGGTGCCCTAGGGGAATAGCTGAAGAGAGCGAAGATATGCAGGAAGGAAGATGTCCCAGTCCAGTTTGTCCTTACAGCCGCACCGGCGGTTGCAGTGTCAGTTAACACGGGGTATGCGGGTGTGCGCATCTTCGACAAGCCGATATTTCCAGCTTGGGAAAGTACCCCGGATCGAACGTTTGCAATTAGAGCTTCTCCCCCCCAGTACCGACCTCAACAATTTGGTCAATTCCCGGATATTCTGGCACTTCGAAATCATATTTCCTGGCAATTGCCGGAGAGACAAAGCTGCGAGTACGTCAGCCATGGGGCTTTCTCATGCCGTAAGAAGACCCTTACCGGCCGCCTACAAAATGACGCCCTTTGAAATATTTGACCAATGGCTTGGGAGCTGTCAGGCTGATCAAGAAATTAGGGTGGAACTTGCTTCCCAAGCCGGATTCCGGTGGTCCAGTTTCAATATTCCAAGATGATGGTGCGTCGACGGAGGTTACGGGAAGCACAGTGTCCTCTAAAGCACGGATCACCGCAGGAAAGGGCTCTCGAATCTCGCCCGAGAAGCTAAATCCTTGCTCATAGATGAGTCTGATATATTCGAAGCACGACAATAATACTTACCGAAAACTGCGTCCACAATATGATCCGTCGATTTCATAGCCGCTGGGAAATCCTCCACGAACGGCACCTCGAGGTCTTCTAGCTGTTTAGCGAGTCGCTATTTGGGAGAGTTTACGATCAGTATCTCGGACGCTGGATGAACTCGTCTGAGCAGAACGAAACACCATATATACGCGTTGTAGCCCATGACTAAGGGTTGGTATTGGCAAGTCTAGGGGTACGAGAGCAGCGATGAAATAGAGCGGTTAAGAACGCGGCTAAGGGTTATTATGACTTGACCGAGACAGAGAAATTAGAGGGTACATGTAAATCAGTTCCGGAGAGGTAATAGTGCTGGGAGCTTTCAAAGACAGCATATGATGTGCTGCATACCTGGTAGAGATCATTTTTGCTTTGTTTTGGATAGTAAATAGCCGGCTGATACCCGTAATGACGAAGATGACGAGCTGCAACGAGTCCATCACCACCTTTAACATATTAGTAATCTTAACTATGTAATTCAACGGAGTTGCTCACCGTTATTACCAGGACCACAAGCTACAAGCACTCTGTTGCCTTTATTCGGAGGATGAACCCGGTACACTGTGCAGCAGCCATTAGATACCAGTTGACAAGTAACCGGCCAGGTTAAAGCGCATACCAACTTGTGAGACTGCTAATCCGGCAAGCTCCATGAGCTGATCAAGCGAAAAGGCACCGGTGCTCATAAGTTCCTTGTCCAGAGCTGCAGCGGCCTTTGCCGATAAGGTCTAGAATGATGTAAGTCAATTTCCAATGTTGATATATTGATATGCCGCTTAACTTACTTTGATTGCCATAATTATTTTTATATTATGATGTTGAGCAGTTAAAGGTTATGAGGTTCCTAATTTAAACTGAATTAAAAAGGGTTGGAAAGTATTTGAGAAAAGAGGAGGAGTTTGAGAGTTTAGAGTTTAGGAATTTAGTTAAACTGATCGACTGACATCACCGGGGGAAGCTGTGATCTTAATTGGCTTCAACTAGTGTAAGTGCCATGCGATCAACTGACTAAGCAAAGGACATCACTCCGATTGGCCATATCGGAGAAAACAGTCTCCAGGCCCGTCAAAATTATTGAATCTATGTAGGTTCCGCAACATTAACCTTATCGCATGCATGCGACACCAAATTTAGTACCTAACAATTATATGTCGTAGTCGACCTACAATCCTCAAAACGGTACTGCGATCAGGATGGTGGTGAAGATTCGTCTTGCGCGCTTCGGGCGTAGGAACGCTCCTTTCTACAATATTGTCGTCGCCCATGCGAGGTTAGTTTTATTTATATTCGCCACTGAACCAAAAATGATCCCAACCTGCTGATGTTAAGCTAACCATCGGAATAGAACGGCACGAGACAGCAAGCCGCTTGAGGTCATCGGCACATACGACCCTATCCCGAAGCCCGACCCATACGACGACTCGGGAAATTTACACAAAGACATCAAGCTGGACACATTAAGAGCTAAGTACTGGATTGGTGTTGGTGCGCAGCCCACAGATACTGTTTGGAGATTATTATCAATGGTAAGAGATAGATTTCTCAACTTTTGCTGGTCTTACGTCATGATCATAAGCGCGTGGAGGCATAGGGAGGGATTAGATCAAATAGCAATTGTATGCTGACTACTCTTCAGGTGGGCATCATGGAACCAAAATATCGAAACACCGAACCGCGGACCCCGCCCCCTATGCCGCGTGAAGTCCAAGACGATTCAAAACCCCAAGATCCGACAAATTGAGAAATACCATATCCACGAATACAAAGCGCATCACGCCTCTTAACCTCGGGATAGGATAGTACTATTAAGAAGGGAGAGCATATGCGGTCGACTTGCTCGAGTTTATCCTTTTTAATAACAAAGTCAGGCTCTGGGACTTAGGATACGTCTACCGAGATGGTAGCCTAAGCCAGCATGTATATATTAGAAAGCAATGAGGCCTACTCTTTGATACGTCTTCGACGATTGTATGACTATCGCCATCCCAGGTATAATACCTGCTGAGCTATGTGTAAAACAAAATAAAGAAGAAAAAATGAACCAAATACCGCACTCCCTAATTTAATTCCCAGTACGTCGCCAGGTAGGTACGACATAGTATTACAGTATAACTAGAACCATCCAAGTCGGAATTCATAGACCTTGGCACCACACGGACCTTGTTACAGTATCAATTCGCTTTTGAGCCCATCAAAAAGAAAATCGTGAGAATTCAAAATCCAATCATAAAAATGATCAATATGGAGTATATTTGCAACACAGTTTAGCAAAACGGGTTAACTACTTCTTTTATTATATTCTCCGTTAAATTTTGGCCAAAAAAAATATTCGGGTTTTAACCCATGTAAACTAGGTACCGTAAGACAAACCATCCCGATGTTATCATACATAGAACACTGGTATAGTAGGGGTGAAAACCCCCCTGCCTCTCAAAGTACGCACCAAATGCGCCAAACCGAAGGGACACTATAGTGTCGCCTCCTTTTAAAGCAGCTCAACTCCGCCTACTCACAGACCAGCACCCCCACCATTCGCAGTCGGCGCCGGGTTCGTATCTGGAACCAAAACCCAATCCTTGACGCTACCCTTCCAGTCACTAGTCCTTATATCATTGATATGCACCAGTATAACGCGCACCTCTTCGCCCGCAACGAAGCACTCGCGGCCACCATCTTCCTGGCCGCCCGGCGTCAGCCCAGCCACGGCATTGAACGCGACGCCGCCCTCGGAGTCGAAGGTGTTGTTCTCGAGGTGCTGACTACGATAAAATTCCTCTTCGGTCGAGCCACGGGATACGAGTTCGGCCGTCCCATTGATAGTCGCGCTGATGCTAGATATAGCGCTCGTGTTGAGGTTTAGCAGAAGCGATGCTAGGCTCGATCTACTCTCGGGTCCGGGAGAGCCGCCGGACATCCGCCGACCTTGGGTTGGCGGTCTATGTGAGACCCCTGCAAGCGGTTAGCTGTTGTCAAGTACATTTCTTTTTGATAGTTAAGGGTGCTCACAGTCGTGAACTAGTAAGGAAACGTTAGGGTTGACCACGAGGTTATTGGTCTTCTTGGACGATGGATTTGTGGTCATGACGATAACCGGTGCAGAGGAGTATTGTGAAGAAGGGATATAAGTGTAATTCATCAGCGACACGTGCGGTTGGTTATCAATGCATGTTGCCAGATGAAGCTATACCGGGGTTGCGTGTTAGCGGCCGGGGGGTCGAACATGATAAGCAAGGATTGGCGGGGGAACTTACAAAGCGGGCATTTTCGAGGCACTGGACGACTTCCGGGGGAAGCGACGTAACCAATTGCTTGTGCGTGTCGCCGGCAGAGGCCTCATGATTAAGAGATATCTGATCCATCGCGTCGGTGGTGAGCGTTGGGGATATCTTGTCGCGTGAAGTAGTTCGACGATGGAGGGGTCAAAAAGTTATACATAAATCCTATCAGCGATCCTATCAGATCTCCTATGATGACGTTGGGGTTGGGGCTGAACCCCTGGAATACTCCACTGAGGCTGGAGGTGGGAGCTTGGGCCATAGCTAAAAGGACAGGCAGGAACAGGGGATTAGAACCGCGGCTTTTCGCGGGGGTGGGTCCGCTTACTTACGGCTTTTATTCATCTTACCTCAAAGACAGCAAGATGGAATGGACGAAGTTACCTACCTACCTTCTAGGTAGGTAGGTATCTTCTTTCCTTCTTATCCTTCTCTTAGCATACCCATCTCAATGAATTTATTCTTATATATAACTTAAATAAATTATTCCTACTTATAGCTACTTCATGAGACATAAGCCAAAGAATATATATCACCTGAATCTAAAACACAATTCAAGATGCGTTCAATCAAGCCAAGACATCTCCGCCGAGGTCCATTTCCCCGTTACCTCTCCTCAGCTAGTTCTCCCATACAGCCGCATGTTACTCCTATAACATCTCTATTAATTGCAAACCGCGGCGAGATTGCATTGAGGATAAATAAGACAGCTAAACGCCTCGGTATAAAGACTACAACATTATATACCGACCCGGACGCCTCCGCACAGCATGCTTCTTGCTCGCCACATTCCATTAGCCTTGGTGCCGCTGATGGATACCTCGACGGAGAGAGGATAGTGAGATTAGCAAAGCAGCACGGAATTCAGGCACTACATCCAGGCTATGGCTTCTTATCGGAGAACTCCGCTTTCGCCAAGAGGTGTGAGCAAGAGGGAATCGTGTTTGTTGGGCCACCCGCTCAAGCCATGGCAGATATGGGAGATAAAGCCCGAAGCAAAGAGATCATGACTAAAGCTGGCGTACCATGTGTACCCGGGTACCATGGTAGTGAGCAGGGCGAAGCGGAGCTGTTGCAATATGCGAAGGAGATCGAATTCCCAGTCTTGCTAAAGAGTGTAAAAGGAGGTGGCGGCAAAGGCATGCGTATCGTAATGGAAGAAGGAGAGTTTATCCAACAGTTGAAAAGCGCGCGAGCAGAGGCTAAAGCTTCGTTCGGAGAGGGCGGCGAGGTTATGCTGGTTGAGAAATACATCGTACGACCAAGACACGTTGAAGTGCAAGTATTCGCAGATAAGCACGGTAACTGCGTTGCTCTAGGAGAACGGGACTGCAGCGTACAGCGCCGCCACCAAAAGATATTGGAAGAGTCGCCGGCTCCAGACTTGGATGATATCACAAGACTAGATCTGTGGGAAAAAGCCAAGACGGCTGCCTTAGCAGTAGGCTACGTGGGTGCGGGAACAGTAGAGTTTATTTTCGACAAGGATACGGGCGACTTTTACTTCATGGAGATGAACACTCGACTTCAAGTCGAACATCCCGTTAGTGAGATGGTCACGGGAACGGATCTAGTGGAATGGCAATTCCGTGTTGCAGCTGGAGAGAGATTACCATTGACACAAAAAGAAATTATAGACAGAATTCACGAGAGGGGAGCGGCCATCGAAGCCAGGATATATGCCGAGAGTCCTGAAAAGGGCTTCCTACCTGACTCCGGGAAGCTCGTTCATCTGAAAATTCCCAAGGTCGATGAAGACATCCGAATCGATGCTGGTTTTGTTGAAGGCGATACTGTCACCGAAGCCTACGACGGAATGATTGCAAAACTCATCGTCAGGGGCGGGGATCGCGAGACGGCTATTAGAAAGATGGAGCTCGCTCTACGCGACTACGAGGTTGTGGGTTTGAGTACCAACATCGAGTTCCTGAAGCGTCTATGTAGGTCACCGGCGTTCATAGAAGGAGACGTCGAGACGGGCTTTATCGACAAGTGGAAAGAGGAGCTTTTCGATCCCGTGTTAATCAAGCCCGAAGTGTATGTGCAAGCGGCACTTGGCGCGTTTGCTTCCCAACCTACGGAGGCTGTAGAGCCCCATGGAGGGAGTCTCGGCTTTGGCTTAAACAGCAGCGAACGAACGTTCAGCTTCAAGTCCCTCGATGTGTTAGATAAGAAAGAAGGAGAGGTGGTGAATGTTAGCATAACTCAAAAAGGCAATAGCTTGTTCGACGCTCGAGTCATACGGAAGGATGAAGATCTTCAGATTTTTGAAGATATCGTGTCTTCTCCCGTTTCGAGCTCCGACAAGACTAGTCTAATAACCTATTTCCCCCACACGCGGATAGAAACGACAGTGGTCCAAGATCCCAATAACGATAACAAAATCACCATATTCCAACTTGGGACAAAGACGGAATTAACACTAGTATCTCCATCCTGGTACGAGAAGGCCTTGGGGCTAAAAGAGGTAGCAGGGTCAGTTGCAGCTCCAATGCCTTGCAAGATCCTCAAGAACGAAGTCAAGGAGGGTGATAGAGTTACCAAGGGAGCCCCACTCGTTGTGTAAGTTATTTTCCCCTTTGCTGACATGACAACTCGGCAGTCTGCTCATACCACGTCCAGCATCGAATCCATGAAGATGGAAACAGTCATTCGATCGCCACAGGATGGTGTCATCAAGAGACTCGCACATAAAGAAGGGGTAAGTCTTTGCGTCTTACTAGTTACGTCTCGTGATTGCTAACCCGAACTAAAGGACAAATGTAAAGCTGGCACGGTATTGGTGGTGTTTGAAGATAGTACGGAGTAAGATTTAAGTAAGGATATAGTAGAGCGTTTCTAAAAGCTCAATTTTACGCATGGTGTACGGTTTGCGTGTCTTGATTTATGACGAAGCATTATATAGTCCATATGACATCAATATCCTCTAGTGGGAATAAACCTTGAGTGTCAAGTCGAAATTTGAAAGTAGTTGACGTTAGTCAGCCTTCGTAGAAGTTGTGACACCAAGACCCTACGCGTGTTGAGACATCAAACTTCAATCAGACCGGACGTTAACTCAAGGTGCTACCGGTAGTTATTTACATTCTACAACGTCAACCTAAGCTCAACGTATATTCATTACTAGACGACAGTACTACCTAGGATAAAGCATAGGAAAGTAGAGCCGTAGACTAGATTTTGTATCGACTAGCAGTAATGTATCAAGTCAGAACGCGACCACAGGAAACACTCTTTCCTGAAAGGAATGGAACACAAGTAAAATAAAACTTCGAGATTTAATAAAGCCAGGCATAGAGTGCAATGAAGACCAATAAGGTGTTTTCATAATTAAACTATATGTGCTAGTCTTCGGCAATAGGAGTTTAGACTATCCCAATCCTCCACGTGTAACGCCGTCAAACTTAGGTATCTCTCCTACAGAATAATTCAACTAGGTAATAAGAGAAGAGTGGATCGCCGAATATATAATGAAATATACACCTGCTGTTTCATAAGACCTATAGTTGTTGCCGATGTTCCTAAAGGGCCAACGTGCGGTAGGTACTGTAGGTAGACATTTGGAAGAAGTACCTGGGTTAGTAACTTGAACTCCATTGCTACCATGTACTAGATCAATATTAATTGAGCACTTGCCAATTCACCAGTAAGAGTAAACTGTTTATTAATCTCCTTACAATAGGGCTTCCAAACGGATCACTTATACCTACCTATATCCCCTCTCCCACACATCAACTTCAACCCTCAACCCCCATCCCCATCACCATCACCATCTCGATTTACCCGTCTACTTCTACTCTCATTCTCAATCCCACTTCTACTATACCACCTCTTACGTCATACCCAGTCCCGTCCGGGGGGGCGCCGAATCAGCTCCCCCCTAGCAGCCACCCAGCCATCTCGGCCTGCCGTTCTGGGCAGCGCGGAATCCGTTATGTGTCTACTTATCTGTCTCGCACGCGCGCATGTCCAAGCCATCGCCGCGCCACGGCGGCGCCATCAAGTCGCTGATTGTCCGGGAAACGCCTCCTTCCCCCCCTCCACTCCTTCTTCCTTTCTACCTTCTTGTATATATAGCACTCCCCGCGGAAGCGAGACAGGCAGACAGCAAAACAAGTAATTAAGGACGCAAGGAAATAAGTGAGACCTCCAACATGATGTCTCAGCCCACGGCTACCGGGTAAGTAGGTACCCAGCGCCGTAAGCATCCTATGTTTAAAAGCGTGGTTTTTAGATTGCGATAGGATACGATAGGACACGATATATCGCGCTGTGTTGTGCTGTATTGTTAGATAGGCTATTCCCACCGACTCCTCGCATGCGCATAACGCGTATTTCCACTCGCCGCTTGAGAAAGACTTGGACAGTCGGGCAACTGACAAACCGTATTAGACACGAGCAGAGTACGTCTCGGAACCCCTCCGGGTAGTATACCTAATCATAACTGCGATAATGCTGATAATAATGAAGTCAATCCCCTCAAATGTGACTATACCCCCCCACAGCCACGAGCGCCAAGGGTGTTTGACCAAGACCAAGATTAACTTGAGCCATTGGCCTGTGTGATCCATCCGTAGGACTTCTCAGATACCCAACCTAGTACGTGGCCGCGGCTGCGGCTGACAGCATTTCGAAGCTAGGCTACTTTATCTTGTATGGCGTTGCCTGCCCGCTTGCTCACCCGTTTGATTGCTTGCTTGCTAACTACATACGTCGTGTCCCGTGTAACGAAATAATATACGGTAGCGTGCGAATAGGAAATAACACCGGGTCCTAGCGAATGCAGGAATCCTCTCCGTACGCCACTTACCGTAAGGCCAATGTTCCTCCCCGACCTTTGGTAGAAGGCAGATGCTATAGGAGGTAGTATATCGGAGGTAGCATGAGCGTATAGAGACGAACATAGATAGGTCGTAATTTGGAAAGTAGATGAGGACGTAGCATCTAGATGGATAGGTAAGCATGCAAAGTAAGGTAACTATAGCGGGGCCACGGCGTCACCGTCGTATTCTAAGGCACGCACCCCGCGGGCGGGATCGGGGTCGACGAGGGTAAGATGGGCAACCGTAGGTAACACCCGCGGCAAGTAATATATGACCCCGTCGAGCACCTCCTTACCCGCCTCACTCTGGTTGGGCGGAGAGGAGTTGCAAAGGGTACGGTCTGGGTAGAGCGAGATGGGAAATCACAATATCCTTCATCAAAGAACGTGATTGTGACTGGGACTGGGCGGGTGCGCAGCTTGGTGGCTAGATGCACGCGATGCGTGTCTTG